AGTTAAACAAATTGAACCTAAAACTTTCAAAATGGAAGATGAAAAAGAAATTGGAATAACTAAAAACCATCTTGAATTTATTGCCGATGAGATTATGGAAGCAATACCGCCCGAATGGGAGAATATTGTTATGACTGATAATGAAGGTATTAAGAAGTTAAGTTATATCAAATTGTCAGGCATATTATGGGGAGTATGTAGAGAGCAACAAACAAAGATAGAGCATTTAGAAACCCGCTTATTTGAAGTTGAAAACTTCATTAAAGATTTTGTCAAGCCTAAAGCAAAGGCAAAATCCAAATCAAAAACCTAAAGATAAATAAAATATAAACCTATAATATGGGCAATAAACCAAGTTCAGTTGAGAACGGTTGTATTGAAGAATTGAGTAAAATTAATGAAGAAGAGTTAGACATCTCAAGAATAGATAAATTACAAATGAAAGCCTTAAAAGAAATCAATAGCAAAATTGAAAAATTGAACAAGGAAAAGTCTGATAAGATTATGTATAGACTGCCAGTTCAAATTTGTAATTACAGCCTCTTTTGATTTAATAATATTAGCTTGAAAAATAATATTATCAAATCGTATCATCAACTAATATCCTTTTGTCATATCTAATCATAAAAACCCTATTAATATCACTCTCCATCAAATTTACAAATAAAAAACTAAACCTATCTTCAGTTGCTAGTTCATAAATTTCTAGTAATGTCTTTTTAGCACTGTTGATATTTTTATCGTCCATCAACAAGTTTTTCTTTATCAATAGCGCTGACAATTCTTCAATCATTGTCTGTATCTCCTTATAGTTTCTCATCTTGAAAAAGTATAGTTGCCTACTATTTACTCTAATAATAGTGCTCAATCCATTGAACTTTTGTGTGGAACTCACCACATTGACCCCAAAATGTCTTCCTCTGATGTAAAGAGCATTGAGCATACTGTTGTGTTTTGAAAATGAAACCGCATCAACAAAATCATCAACAACAATCAATGTAGCAAACAGTTTTTTGAATTTATTTTTCTTTTGATATTCACTTATTTTGTATTGTTGTTCAAGTATCTCTTCCAAATCTTCTTTATGGAACTCATCAAAATAAACCTTCTCTTTCTTCGGATTTACTTTTAGTGTTTTTTCAATGTATTCTTTCACTGGGTGCCAGACACTATCAACGTGGATACTAGCAGAAAATATAAACACCCTCTCAAAACAATTTCTGTAAAGATCTAATATCATATTCTGTAGTAAGATAGATTTACCAGAGCCAGACGGTCCCACTACAATTTGTGAAAATGGTATTCCAGGGGCTACATCATATGTTGATTGTTTAAACTCATACTCTGCTGATTTATGCGGTTTAATAATTGGAACGGTATTATTCATAATATAAATTATTTAGAAATTAATTTCCAATATTTATTGTAAATGGCATATCTTATTTTGCTTGAAATGGGGTCGCGTAGGCTCCTTGAAAAGGGGTCGGAGCCTTGCGAGGCTTCGCATCGCGAAATTTGGGACAGACTGCCATATTGCCCCTCATAAGAAGGTTAATTAAAAATAAAAAATCCACCCCTTTGGCTCTTGCTTCTTTTTCACTCCCGACACGGTCTCTTTTTGCTATGACAACAAGCAGTAGAAGATGTTGAAGCCTTTTTGCTTGAGAATTTGTTTGATGCTATGTTTCAATCAGCACAGTTCATTTTCTTTGACATTTACCTACCGCCCCTTATGGATTTTGATTTGCGCCTAAAAATCCATATATAATTAGATAGTAGTAATTTTATCATCTAATTATATAGGATGAGTGATTATGATAGTTATATCAATACAATAGATGTGATTGAAGATAGTATTGATGATAATAGTAAATTTCCAATTGTAAGAGATAATAAACTTAAACAGATATTCAGGGTAATGCTGGAGTTCCTGAAGATAATAATAAATTATCTTAAGTATCATATAAATGCCACCCAAAAAAGCAAAAACAAAGATGAGTAGTAAAATACCAAAAAAGCCAATCCCTGAAGATTTTGAACTATCAGATGAAGAACCCGCTGTTGTCAATCTGAATGAGGAACAAAAACTGACATCTAAAAACATTGTATTTGAATGTCCCTTGTGTAATGGCAAACTACAGATGAGAAATGAAATTGAAATCAACCCCAAGGGCATCAAATGTAAATGTTCCCCCTGTAGTTTCAAAATCAGCAAGAATGATAAAACAATGAATGTAAAAAAGGATGATGACGGTGAAATTGTTTTAGAAAGTGAAGACCATAGCATCAGTTTCAGTTTTAACCGCCAGATTACACCAGAGGACAAAAATAAGGAAAGCACTAACAATATGATACGGGATGTAATGACTACTACCCCTAGAAGTAAAGGACAACTGGCAATAAATGATATGGATTAAAATTATTTAAAGAGTGATTTTAACACACGTTGAACTGATAAATAAATAAATATCTAAATAATTATATATAGAAATGTCTGATTTAGATGATAAACAACCTGAGATGGCAGAGATGCTGAACAAGATGACTAAGTATAACAAGAATGTGAAGGTATTGATGGACTTAATGAACAAGGCATTAGAAAAACTTGATATATTAGTGAAAAATAAACCTGCTGAAAATAATGATGCTGATGCTGAAAAAGAAAGGATTGATAAAATCTTTGAGAAAAAACAGGTGGGTCGCCCAAGAGGCAGTTTTGAAGAGAAACAATCTCAATATCTGAAAATGCTAAATGAAGGTCGCGTGAAGCAACCTAAAAGTCAAACTCTTGAGTTTTACAAGATTGAAAGGGATGGTGAAGTGTATAAATTAATGGATTGATAAAATGCGTGTCTTTCAACAATAATTTCATATATAAATTATATGAAATTACTTGAGATGTTTAGCGGGACAGGCAGTGTGGGAACTGTCGCAAAAGATATGGGCTGGGATGTTGTGTCATTAGATTTGAAAGGGGCTGATATCAATTGCGACATACTACAATGGAAATATAAAAAATATCCAGTGAAATACTTTGACTTTGTCTTTTCTTCACCCCCAGCTTTTAAATACAATAGGGTAAATACCAATGATGTCAGAAAAATAGATGAAACCAATAAGATTGTGTTAAAAATACTTGAGGTAATCAATTACTTCAAACCACAGGTTTTTGTGATACAAAATCCTCAATCAAGTTTGTGGAAAGAACAAGAGTTTATGAAAAAACTTCCCTATTATGATTTAGACTTTTGTAAATATGGATTTGAATACAGCAGACGCACTAGGCTTTGGACAAACTTGGAAGGGTGGCAACCCAGAGCATTGTGTAAAAGGGACTGTGGCAATGTAATAGAAAACAAACATATTGAAAAAGGGCAAAGGCTGCCATCAAATGAAATTCCTGAAGCATTGGTTCAAGAAATGTTCAGTGCTATATATAAATGTTGTGTGTTTTAGTTAGGGGTGTTCAGTGCTTGAAAATTGGTGTTTTCAGTGCTTGAAAACGGGTGTTTTCAGTGCTTGAAAACGGGTGTTTTCAGTGCTTGAAAATAGGTGTTTTCAGTGCTTGAAAATGTGTGTTTTCATTGCCTGAAAACTGGTGTTTTCGGTGCCTGAAAATTGTTTTTTTGCCGTTTTCAGGGTCTGAAAGTGTTTTTTGCCGTTTTCAGTGTCTGAAAACGGGTGTTTTCAGTGCTTGAAAATAGGTGTTTTCAGTGCTTGAAAATGGGTGTTCTCATTGCCTGAAAACTGGTGTTTTCAGGGTCTGAAAGTGTTTTTTGCCGTTTTCAGTGTCTGAAAATGGTTGTTTTCAAGGTCTGAAAATGGGTGTTTTCAAGGTCTGAAAATGGATTTGTGCGGGGTGTGTCTCAATACTACCTAGGCTGGATATTCCCATTATCTGGGCTGGATAATTCCATTATCTGGGCTAGTTTTTTTCAAAATCTAGGCTGGATAATCTGGATGGCTACAGCCTATACATTGGGATGCATAAGGTCTATACATTTAGATGTATAAAGTCTATACATTGGGATGTCTAGGGGCTGGACAATGGGTATTGAGCCTATGGACGTATTCAGCATTTGAATACAGAATAAGGGTGTATTCGGATACTGAATACGGGGTATTCAGCATTTGAATACAGAATAAGGGTGTATTCGGATACTGAATACGGGGGGTTGTTATTATCTATAGGGGGGGCACCCCTCCTTGCCTAAATTTTAGGCAATCCCTTTGCCTCAAATTTAGGCAACCCACTTGTCTAAAATTTAGGTAGTCCCTTTGCCTAAAATTTAGGCAGTCCCTTTGCCTAAATCTTGAACTGGTAAGATGGAGAAATCCTGTTTATGGCATTGATTTTTCAATTATGTTTATGTATTGGCTTTACCATTGCCGAGGTCTGGCTTAAAGTCCATCTCATAGGTTTTAGCATTACAACAGGCTTTTGAATGAGGGTAAGTGTATGGTTTGTTGTTAAGGTTTTTGGTATAGTATTCTTTATGGTCTATTGTATTGTTTAGGTTGTTTGAGTTTTTTGTTTTGTTGTTTGTTATGATTTTATTGTTGATTATGTTATCATCTATAAGGTAAAGCAATCCCATCTTTTTGTTTCGACCGCTTTAAATTCTATTGTATTGTAGGGGGTGCGGTCTGTAAAAAGACGGGATTGCCCTAGGCTAACTCATATAATTATATACATATATATATGTATATATAATCATAATTAACTATAATTATATATAATATATTATAATATCATATTATATCATATGATAATTTTCTTCCTTACATGGGAAAATCACCGGAAATCATTTGATGAATTTGACCACAAACCACTTGAGATAACCCGATCAACTCCATGGACCTGTACTGCCCAAGGCTCACCAACTTGTGGGTGGAATGATCACAGTTGAATCTCTCAGAATCGAAAAAAACCCTTCAAACTGGGAAAGACCCAGTGGGTTTGGCCAATCCCTTGGCCAAGCTGGTCATCTCTGAGGAGCTAAGAGATCAAAGCATCGATTTCCCCGGAGCTCGTAGAACTGCAGCGACAGGAAATCCTCTCCGCCTTCAGTCTCTGTTCGGTTGGCAAATAAGTCGTGTGCTGCAAAGTCCTCGATGGCGGTCATGGTAAAGGTCTTGCCACTGCCTCCAAAGTTCAAACATGTTGAAACACTTCAGAACCTGCAATCTACTTGTCCGATCTTGTCCGTTGTCCGATCAACTGAAGGGACTTGCCTGCAATCTCCCCAAACAAGTGACAACGGAACGAGAAAAAAGAAAACAGGGCCCGCTGCACCAAACCATGGCCTGTTTGACCAAACATGAACATGGTGGCCATTCCTCCGTTCATCGCAATCTGCACCAGTGGCTGGGCGGTTTGTGCATAAACAACCTCGTTGGAGACATCTTCTGGAAATACACAATCAAAGCCATAGTGGATGTGGGTGATGAAGGCAGTCTTCAGGTCTGCCTGGAATTGGCAGTTGTGTAGCACCACCTCATTGCAGTAGGGTTTCCTGGGGATCACGGTCAGGGCATCGTACTCCGCACGGACTTGCTGTTCTTTCTCCGACAGCGGCCGCTTGCGCAAGAAGACCTGCAGGGCACCTCGAGTGCCTTCCGGCTCCTCCTCCTTCTGCTCAGCTGACAGAAACAGCTCATTACCTGGGTCAGCGGCCAGTGGTGAGCTAAAAGCCACTAAAAACCAATATCTTCAAATGGGTTCAGCAGTCACTTGGAAGGATTGGAATCATAACCAGTGGCCCTCAAAGCTGACCGTTAGCATTGCCAAAACTGCTGGGGTTGTTCAGAATGGAGAATGTTTGCACAAGCACGGACGATCACTCTATATAAAGTAATTAGAAATATCATAGTGTTCAGAGTGACTCAAAGTCAAAATGTCCCACTTCTGCTGACCTAGTGGCGCATCTTCAGAATTGCCGCTTGAAACATCTCGGAATGCATGGAGCGTAGCTCGTTCTTGTCGAACATCTGCCGCCCTCCCTCCTTGTCTCTGGGTGCTGCACCCACTGACTGCGCCCGCACTGGACTGGGCGCTGGAACAGCCCTGGGCTGAGAGGGGACTTCCTCTGGTGGATCACGATGGCGTGAGGAGGATCTTGCTGCGCGAGATGGCTGTAGAGTGATGTCTGCTGCGCGAGATGGCTGTAGAGTGATGTCTGGCAAGCACTGTTTTCCTGCAACAATGGAAAACTTCAAATGATCCTTGGTTTACCTCACAAAGGAAGCCAGACATCTCAAGTATTTCAGTATATTTCAATGCTTATAAGGCTTATAACATCTTATAACATCTTATAACCCTGAGATAATCAGATAATCAGAGGTTTCACCCCAAAGCTCCATAGATGGCACATCCCCCGCACCTAGATCGCTCTGCCCGCTGCCACCCCGCTGTCGCCCCGGCAACAACGGGGGCGACCGACACGCGGCCACGGCCGGGGCTCCCGCAGGCGGCTGAGAGGCACAGCGCCGCACCACCGCAGGCCTGGAAAATATGGCTAAAACATGCACTTTCTTTCCAAATGTGAATGGGCTTATGACTAACCACAACTGGGGTTGAGCATAGTACTTCATTGTGGGACCTGAGTCATTCATGATTCTTGACCCGCCGAGTCTAGTGCCCAACACTTTTTCAATGTCTTGAGATGGGGTTTGCCTTAGGGTTTAAATTGCATGGTAGAACCGGCCAATGGGTTGCCAGTCTATGAAGCCAAAAGTGGGTAAGCCTCAAGAATGGATCCGAGGAACCTTTTGATGCAGACTGGCAAGAGCCAAAAGGTGGCTCTTCCCAAAATGGAACAGCTACAAAAAATACAAAAAGTATCTGAAAGCTACCAGAGTCAACTTGAAGTACAACCACTTTCACAAGAGCCCATGTTCTTTCGTATCTTTCGTGGAGAATCCACATATACCCACCACCAACCCATCCAACCCTAGTCAATCCCACTTCCATCCCACATCACTGCCTTATCTCTGGCCCTTTCTTCAGCTTCGGCGGCGTTTCCGGTGCCATTTTGGGCGGTCTCGCAGCTGCCGCTTGCGCGGCGGGCACGGGTTGCGCAGCTGCCGCTGGCGGCTGCGGCCTTTTGGGGACGCTGGGGCTTCGCTTCTCACCCTTCGACGCTTTCCGATAGCCTTGAGGCTTGCAACCAGAAAACCTCCAATCCATGCAAATCAAGCGCAAAGTGATGTTAAATTTGATCATAATCTATGATAATCTCATATAATCTCATATGTGTCTCACATAGGCTACATTTGCAGGAATCCACAAGTTATGCCAAGTGACTGGGATTGGAAAACACCAAGGGATCTTCCTCTCCTCCGCGCAAACCATTTTGCCAGGAGTCCACTTCTGACTTGAAGATGGCACCGTTGGCACCGTTGGCACCGTTAGCACCGGGCTCCAAGACTCCTTGTAGACCCCCTGCATTCTTGGACTTACCCCCTGAAAAATCCAACGTGGACCCCATGGAAGCCGGAAAATGAAGTGTGTGGAAGATGATGTTCCACCATCATCTTGAATTTTGGGGCCGTGCCTTTTCATGAGTTTCATTTTGAAAAGGCAACTTCACATCATCATCATCATCATCATCATCATCATCATCATCCCTCCTTCCAAAACCCCAATTGAGCAGCAACAGCAATTCGAACCCTGGCAGTTCTATATGTTTCTCACTTGACAAACCACATCCGATGTCCACGTCCTCGGGCACCGACGCCATCGCGGCCATTGCGGCCATCGCCCAACTTCCGTCGCGGGCGCGGCTTCCCAAAGACCAGGGGATCGCTGCAGCGCATCTCGTCGTCGCCGCCGCGCAAGGCCTTGGCCCAGGCCTCGGCCTCGTCAACCTTGCGGTTGGCCTCCACAACCTCGACCTGGAAATGGGTGGCAACGGGATCACTGGATGTGTTTTGGATGTGAGGATGTAGATGTGATTCTGTCATGATGTATGTGATGTTAAGTGAAATGTGATGATAGTGATGGTGCTGGTTCTGGTGCTAGTGCTGGTGGTGATGGTGATGGCGATTATACAACATAATGCAGGTGATGATATGTGATGACATGCAATGATATGTGATGACATGTGATGATACGCTATGATGATATGTTAATCATTTGTGATCATGTGTGATTATAAGCGGTTATATGTTGTGTCTATGTGACCACATTTATGCGTGCAAAGGTAGAATCCACCATCCGTGTTTCAAAGTCAAATTTGGATATAGTACAACAAAGATCTTGGCATTGATACAGCACTGGGGTCAGCAATGAACTCATCACTGCTCGAGTTTGGCAGAGAGTGGGTCTCGTGGATATGATTAGCAAGGATTCCAAGCGACCAACCTAGGCCACAGTTCGCCAATTAAGCAATGAAAAAACTTCTTCAACATCCTTCAAGGCCTTGCTTTGGATATAGTTCTTCCAGTTCTTCCAGTTCTTCCAGTTCTTCCAGTTCTTCCAGTTCTTCCAGTTCTTCCAGTTCTTCCATTACCCCTCGTATTTTTGTCGCACCTGTTCCCTCTTCCACTCGGGCCAGAAGGTCTCATCGGCTCCAGGAACCGGCGGCGTCAACCGCCAGGCGGTTTCGTCGGAAGGGACAGCCACCGGCGCGACCGGCGCGACCGGCGCGACCGGCTGCTCAGCAACTGGCGCTGGCTGGGCTGGCTGGGCTGGCTGGGCTGGCTGGGCTGGCTGGGCTGGCTGGGCTGGCTGGGCTGGCTGGGCAGCGGGGATCAAAGTCACCTCATCGCCTCCTGTCACACATATCGGCGGCATGGCATTTCAGAGTTGGCGTTCTTCTCACACATTTGGGATTCCCACTTCGCCACTCATAGGCATTGTTGATCATTGTTGTCACACATTGACATCACATCAATTCATCAAAGTCCTGCCAGCTCTGGCAGCAAGGTAGGCTCAAGGCCGTCTCCATCCATCGCAGCTCGGCCATCAACGGGTCCCGAGTACGTCGGAACGTGTCAATGGACGACAAAAGGATGACCACGTGATATCTGACTGCATCCTGTCCAAATGTCTCCGGCGTTGTCATTTACTGTAGTCATTCTGCAGATGTGAATTGGCCAAAATATGTGTTTTTATTTTGTGATAGACGTCGTTCATGAGTGTGGGAGTTTGCCTTCTCATGCGAATGATGTCGCCTACCTTGTGCGTCATACAGGCAGTACACATCCAAATGAACGAAAGAACTACATACATACTTGTTTGCACATCCTCCAGAACTGGCTGACAAGAACACACCTGCAATCTCCTAACCATGTTGAGATACATTTGTGTGGAGTGACATTTTTTATACTGTATCGTATCACTTTTAAACATGTGTTAAACGTGTCGTTTTCAGCATAAAAACATCACCAATTTCCGGGTTTCCACACCACCATTGACATGGTCACCAGAGTGCAGCGAGGCCTTTTCCGTCCAGGAATTGTCACTCTGACGGCAAGAAAGAAAAACAAAGAAACGCCATAAACCGCCAGGAAAAGATAGCCAACAAACCCAAGATTCGCAGCAAGTGACCAAAAACAAACCGGCGGCTTGCCATAAGGTTGCTCAACCATCAGTTGGAAAAGTTGCAGCGCCGGTCTGGCGCTAAGTTAAAAACCCATCCCAATCCAGCCAGCCTTCGCTGACAGAAGGGCATTGATCGCACACTGTGATCCCCCAGCCGCTGCCTTGGCAAGGCACTCACGGCTTGAAGGTTTTGGCCTCTGTCCACCTTCAATGGAATGCATTTTCCACGTGTATCTGAGCCATTAAACTACTTGGTTGATAGCTTTCCCTACTATGGGTTAGTTCATAATCCCCAATGAGCCAACCTTTATAATTTCCTATCACCAACCATAAAGAACCCAGGTATCCGCCAAGAAACCCAGTGGATGGCCTGTACACCTTCTTCATCCACAGCAGCCACATCTGCCCCAAAAGCCAGTAGCAAAGACGTCAACCTGAGGCACCAACGTCCAAGGTTGGTCGTTTATTTTGCTTCAAGGAAAAGGAACATCCTTGCATCTGATATCCAACATCTCAGTCATTTGAAAAAACAAGTAAAAAAAAACATGGTGTTTCCTCAGTCAGTAGATCCATGGCAGGGTTTTGAATCGGAACGTTGTGGCTGGGATCACCCCATGAAGCCCGCTCCTGCAGTTGTTGGTGGAGAGATGTAGCGCTTGCTCCTGTCACCGAACAGCCAACAGCCATTGGTTGCTGGATAGATGCATCTACATCCATATCATCCATATCATCCATATCATCCATATCATCCATATCATCCATATCATCCATATACACAAATTAAAATATCCTTCTCATTTGTATCAGAGATTCACAGATTGAACCAAGCTGCAAAACAGATCCAACCATCAATAACCATGATTTCAGCATCAAAAACAGAAAAAGTAGCAAACTGACCCAAAAATTATCCATTTTTTGGTGACCATCACATTTCAACATCGCCTTTTTATATTACCAAAAATAATGAAAAATCAACAGCCATGGGCCATCAACATCCATAAACCTACCACCATCCACCACCAGCCTCACAAGCCTACCACCGGAACCGGGCCTGACGCCGTGAGGTGGCCGAGACGTCGGCCCGGCGCCGCAGGAGCTCTTTGACCATGGCCTGAGTTCACCAAAGATCCGAAGAAAAAAAAAGTTGATGGATGTTGATGGCTGCTTAAAGATGTTTAAAGATGTTTAAAGATGTGGAGGTTTCCGAAGTCATGGGGGTATCCCCCTGTGCCCAAATCATCCAAGTCAGACCATGACTTAGTATTGAAACCAACGGTGGGGATCCCCCTATTTTAGGAAACCTCCATATCGGAAATGGTGGATGAACATCCAAATGATCCAAAATTGTTGTTCCATAGGTTTCGTTGGGAAAACTCTTCGCCGGAAACTGGCTGCTTTAACCATCTTTAACACTTCAAATATGACAGTAAACCCGAGCATTTTTCGCGCTCACCGATCGACTCCGCATCGGTTTCTCTGAAATGGGTGATTCTCCAGGTAAGTTTCTCCCAAGGTATATGAAGTATGAAGCCGACCATACTGGGGATGTGTCTGTACTGGTTGTATATGTATATTGTACAATATTATATATGTATTATATATATATACGCATACTGTATAATGAATATATAATTATTTAATATTATTTATATATTAATATATATGAATAGGATATGACGGGGATCTAAGATATTTATGAGTGTCCTAAAAAAAATTGGGTTTGACTCCTATATAACAATATTAGGGCCAGTAGAACATACCGAAAATGATGATCAAAAATGGTGGCACCAGTGGACACACAAATTTGAAGGTTATGAGGTATATACACCCTATTTGAATCTTGAGACAAACAACAAACGTGGCAACGGTAAAAGTGTAAAAAAATAAAAGGAGACTTGTCCCTCACCATGTGAAAAAGATGACTGTTGACTAGAGGGAAGGATGATTCAAGCCTGAGTATGGTCAGGATCAGTGTCAACTTCCAGAGGAAAAGATCAGAAAGCGATCGAAACCATCAACAGGTTTGTATTTATACAAATACATATGTGGAGGTTTCCAAAAATGGGGGGTACCCCTAAATCATCCAAATTAGACGCCAAGGTGCATGGTGTCCAGCCATGGATGCCAAATGTAGGGGCCTGGCCAACTCAAATCCGGGCCTTAAGATCCAAATTTTCTCATGGATTTCTGATATGTCTTGCTGGTTGCTGGGGGGAATATTGACTTCGATATCTTAGATCAATTTTTTGGAGAGCCCGACTGGGCATCTCAGGGTACGCAATCGCATTTTGGGGCAAGTTTGACTCATACTTCCAGAATTGGACAAAGGGGAATCTACAGGAACCCCCCGATATTTGACGGTAGAAAACGTGGTTTCCTCTAGAATTTCCCTGGAACGCCTGGAACCCAAGAAACATGACATCCCCATGTGGTCTTCCCCAAGCAGGTCAGGTCTGCTGTCTGCCAGCGGTATCCCTCGCATGCAGCAGGGCCTTGGAGTTGAGCAACAACCTGACAGCCATTGGTCAAGACCACTGGTACCCTGGGGTTCACCCCAAAATCATCGCTGGGATTTATGGATGTGAATTGATGAATCACCCATAATAAACCCCAACATTTTTGGTGTTTTATAGGTATTGACCTATACTATCTTGACCTATCCCCATATGAACAATTATGGGATAGTCACCAATGAAAATGGGGATTCAACCAGGTGACCAAGACTGCAGCAATCTCCACCAACATCTAGGCTGGCCCAAAGATGGGAAGGAGGCCCAATGGTTGGTGTGGTTGGATAATGTCTTCAACCCATCATAAACCTACTACAAGGGTTTTATGAACCTTCAAAAGCTGGGTTTAGCAGTGGATTTGCCACATCGCTGGTCAAAACCTATCCCTGTTCACATCTAAAATAGCTGGTGGCCCAAGAAAGGTAAATTCATCCCCACGTTACCCAAAATTTGATAGGTGGATGGCCATTGTATATTAAGAAATTAAGAGGGATGAATAAAGAATAACTTATAGTAGAAACGTGTTTCCACGATGGTAGTTAACTTAGTTTGATTGTGTGTTCCATATATTTTCCGGGTGTCTAACTGTTCCATCTTGTTTGGGCTTGATGCAACAGCTGGCCCAATGCCTGGCTGCCGCCGTGTGCCCAGCTTCGGCCGCATGGTGCAGCGCCGTCTGGCCTGCAACGGTTCACCCAAAGGAAGTGCTGCTTCAAAACGACCAAGTGGGTTTTTTCTGATTTTTTTGGGAGTGAAACCTCCAGAATTCTGTGAATAATCAGAATTTTCCTATACTACCATTACGATTGCTATTTCGGGGGTACCCCCGATTTTCTGACACAATCAAATGGGGGTCAAGCCATATGAACAACCCGAGAATATATGTCCTGGCACCTCCCATGAATGGAAAAATGTCGCTGTGACTTTCATCTTCCCAAATTTCGGTGGATATTCAACCCCCGCATCCCCTGCCTGCATGATCAGCCTGACTAGGTGCTCCCTTCACCTAAGGATCTGCAAAGGATCTTCCCAAATGACCTGTCTGCGATTCGCAGGGGAAATCTTTGACCCCGACCATCCCCGGGCACCACGCTAACAGCTCTCGAATCACCGGCACATGCCCAAAGGCTGCCGCCACATGCAAGGCACTTTGTCCACGCCTCACGGCGACATGGATTCCCCCAAGATTTGATCAAAAAGAGCAAAAATCTCTGCGTTACAAGCTCTTGGTTTTGGACATTTGATCGGCGACCATTTCAAAGAACACATCTCAAACTGCGAAGGAAAACCCATACCCAATCTATGGATCGAAATCGGGGTATTCAATCACCAATTTGATCATGTTTAGGTTTCAACCATACTTAAAACCATCCAGACCTTTCAGACCGAGCGGCTGAGTGGAGGTTTGGAGATCTGCCGACTGCTCGAGCAACTCCCTGACGGCCTGGGTATGTCTAGTCATCAATGCTATCGTGGTGATCATTATCAATAATAATAATAATAATATGATAAGATAATGGTGATAATCTAGATTATCAGTGCTATCATTGCAAGATTATGGTGATAATTGTCAATATGAGGGTTTCCAGAAAAAAGGGGGTACCCCAAAATGGATGGATTATCATGCGAAATCATATCAAAATGGATGATTTGGGGGTACCCCCATTTATGGAAACTTCTAATTGTATTGACAGTAGTGATGAAAATAAACTTGTCTTATCAACATGAAATTGTTATGATGAGGGTAATCAGAATCATGATCATGATGACGACCAGCATGAATATGATAGGCTGAGTTTGAGGCTGAAAGATCTCCGTCTTGAGCAGCTTGGGCTATCAGAGGCCAGTCCTAGTCCCAAATCGCAGGCACTTCATCTTGCAAAGAATAGGGAAATTGAATCCTTGGTCCATCAGAATGACTTGAATCATTGGTCCATTAGAAATCCTTGGTTCACTTCATCTTCTGATTTCTCTGATTTCTGTGGTCCATCAGAATGTCATCCTGTTCCGATCATGAAGCTTTGCAGCCACTGAGAAAATTGCATGCCGGTGTTGAGAGCATCCCAGACAGTAAGTGAAGACTAAGATGCTGGCTGATCGTCTCCCTTGCGCGCCAACCTCGGCTCTCAACCCAATTTCCCCCCTTTTTGGAGGACTGAAGGCATCCCCACCAATTTCATCGGTCCTTCAAATGCTCCACAATAGGCGACATGTGCTGCAACGATTCTTGGTCAATGGTCAAACGTCCTATTCATGTTCTTGAGATTCCGGCGCCAAGAACCAGTGGATCAAGGTTGCAAGTAGAGTGCTCCAAGTGGGTTGGTAGATATACAACCTGTCGGCCAGGATGGATAACAACTGTCAATTTGTTGTGGCTCAAGCCCATTCAGTGTTTTTACCCCGAGGATGCCCTGGGTGTAGTACAGCTCCAAGATGCACCAGGCACTGATCACTGCTGCCCCAATCTCTGTGCATGTGGGTTTGTCCAAAAAACGGGGTACCCCCAATATTCATGCCATTTGGTTGGCCATTTTGTCCTGTTCATTTCCCTTTCAAAATTGCAATTCACCATGGTTTACCAAGTTTTCGCTGCCTCCCCAGGATTTTGCACCTCAGGCAAATGTGGAGTTCAGAGGGACACTGGGGCCAAAAGAAGGAAATTAGAAGAAGAGTTCTGAGTTCAAATAGCATGGTGGAGGATACCATCAGACTGTGAAACATCGAAGATCTTGAGATCTTTAGATCGGTCCTCTCTCGTGAAGCAACCCAAACGAGGGATCTCAGACCATTTTTGATGATCATTGTAACGATGATCACTGTAACGAACAATCCAAGAGAAAGTGAGGATGACTTTCTAATATCCAGTACTCGAACACTGAAAAGTCAGCCCAAGCACGCAAAGCTGCACCCCCGCCGGAGCTTCTCGACCCAAAGCTCCACATGGGTCCTGAAAGAGGACGGAAAGGAATGAGACGCCGAGAAAAATTGGGCGCTCACAAAATTCAGATGGAAAAGGGACGATTTCATTGGGCCAAGCAGCCGAGCAGTTTAGGAAGGGTAACTAATATCGCAACTCCCGTGTCGTCCACACTCTATATTTCACTTGAACGCAAGATATGTCAAACCCAAGTGAAATACTCCCCAGTTTTGAGGATTGGATGATTGGATGATTGGATGTATAGGAACATGACTCCAGATCAGTGAAACGGATTCATATGTCCTCCCAAGCCGCAAAGTCAGGACTGCTGCCTGGTTCGGCCTTGGAGGGGATTGCTGTGGCCTCTTGACTGGTCCCGATTTTTTCGGGGGGGCATCTTCCAAACATTTCCAAACTACCAGGAAACCAATTTTCGGTATAGTAGACAATAGTAAGCCTAATAGTAAGCAGTTTCAAGATGTCACTCTCATTTTGACTTCAAGAACCAGGTCCGGCCAGGTCGATCTCAAGATATCTCAAGGCCTGGTCCACTGGGAGCCCGGTCTCCAACCCACCAGGCCTTCCTGCCCTGCAAAAGCAGCAACCATGACTCCTGGCACCACCAAAAGCCCAACACGGACCCAACTGCAAAGACATGTGGAAAACAACCTTTGGGAATATAACCAGCGAATCCAACTGCTCAGTTGCTTACAATCATTTTGCACTGTAAACATATTCCTTGCGATCAAGTGCTTCATATGCCTCCCATCCCCCCACCCAGCCTCATGAGAGTGTCGGTCCACATGCGAGGCCTACAACGACAGTTTGCTTGGTGAGATGTCCAACCATCTACGTCATACATTAAATTTGGCTGTGTTTGAAAATGGGGGTTTCACCCCAAATAGCCATGTTCCTAACCATCAAATATTGAAGGTATCCTACTTTCGGACACACCCATGCGTATATCTTTCTAATCATAGGCCCCTTCCGGTAATTCGATATAGCCGACATTGCCATGGAAAAAGGCTCATGTAAATTTAGCTCGGTGATTCACCTATTTCCATGGCCTGTAAAGTGGTGATTTTCCATGGCCTGGTCATTGGTAGCCACCAGCCATCCTCCGGCCTGCACTCCCAAGGAGAAGATCCAGCGCGCCGCGATTGCTGCCACCGCGGCCAGTGGGAAGGCGCCGGCCAAACGCCGCACCTGTCGAGCGCGGTTGATGGGTAACCCATGGTAAACCCATGGAGGATTCAGAAAAGGTCAACAACTATATATATATACATAATATATACATAATATCATGTAATACATATATATGTATATATATATACATATAAATGCACGAAATGAATCCTGGAGTTGCAAAAAGCCTTCTGGTGTGATCCCAAGTATTGGGCAGTTCTCAGGCATGATCGAGTCGTATTCAAACTGGCCATGGCTTCCATAGGAAACTGGTATTTTCATGAACGTACCCTCTGGTACAACATGGCTTGCTAGCTGCTAGAAAATCCCCTGGTTGTAAATCCCATGGTTTTCCCTGTAAAACCTTCATATCTATGGGGATTGCCATTGCATGCCAGGCAGCGGCCCAAAAAGGATACCTGTCATCCTACTCGCCTCATCAATCACTGATGCATTTGCGCCTGCACTTTGGCGAGGCCTCCCACGAAAAATCGACTGAATCACGGACTAAAGCTGCAAGGCTATGATCAGAACATAATACGCGAAGATACCACATTAAACACATTTATGTTTACATATTGTGTATATATTATGTAGAATCTTATGAGTGATATGTGCATACATGTTTAACAGTTTAACATATGTACAGCGTCTCAATAAATACATGTCAGCTAGTATGGTACCAGCGGGGTCATACAATTGATCCAGGCAACCTGTTGACTGTGAAGACGTGGAAATCTGAGCTGCTTTGCTGCAGATAGCCTCACTTCCATGGCTTTCAAACTCACGATGGCCGAAAGTCCCATGATTTGGTTACATGATGAAATCCATGATGTTACATGAGCTCACATGAATCCACCTAGATGAAATCAGCATCTCAAGTTCCGAGTTCCGATGACATAAATGACATCCTATCTAAGACCACCAGCAAAAGGAAAACCAGCTAGTGTCCAAATTCAAACTCAATGTGCTAAGTCCGTCCTTTCAAGCACAATCACAACATACCACAACCAACCACAGCTCTCAACGTAAGCTTGGAGCGCTGCAGCTGCAGTTGTCTGTGTACCTGGCAGCTGTTCATCTCTCAGTCGAACTGATCAGTGCGGCTGATCAGTGCGGCAGCTCTCTGTGGCACCTTCCCCGCACCAAAGCGGCCGTTGTTCACACGGACCACCTGATCGGAGAGCTGCCGCTCGGTTAAGGCGGTCCATCCCACTGGGTCTCACTGTTCAACTGGTGAAAAATATCGCTCACATGATTGAACATGTACAATTCCTCCAGATGTCTTTTTGGACAATGTAGGGATCCAAGAGTCAATCAAGTCACGGCACTTCCTCTAAGTTCACTGCGACCAAATCACCATCTTGCGCCCCAGAGAGCAAAAAATACCCCGACCAAATCACCATCAGAACTTTGGGCGCCAAAATGAAGCTTGGAAAGACTAGAGAGCTCAACATCCAACCGCCACAGGCAACTTCTTCCACTGTGCAGATCACCTCCTCTCCATGGGCGTCCAGGAGTTTGGAGATGATGGGCTCAAGTTGGGACCAATCACCAGGGCCTTTGCCAAGCTGTGGATCCCTTTGTGGTTTGGGCAGTTTCGCTGGTCATCAGCTCACCATCCGGCCTTTGCCACTGGTTTGGATCAAGGTGGGCTGGGCAGCCTGCACTTCAATGCACAAAATATCAAAAAATGGCATTCTGGAAAGGGGAATTGTTCACACTGGATGGCAAGTGCCAGAAAAATGTGCTACATCGGATCGAATGGCTAGATCTGATCTGGCGTTCCATAAGTCTAGTAAGACACATTAAAGCAAGTTGGTGTCAACTTTCCAAGTCCGCTGTGGGAACAGCCACCCCTTTTGCTATCCGTTGCTGCATGGCCCATGGCACTCCTTCTCCGAAGCCAGCTGGAACAGCGTGTCATCAACGGACAGGAGATCACACTGTCGCATGTGGTGGCAGTGGATGTTGTCTGAAAAATGGTGCTGTATGTGCTCCACATGACAATTTTAAAATGGGGAAAATGATAATAACACATTGGAATTATATGAAATGATACAGCGATACACACCATGTCCTGAATCTTCTAATCTCCGGCTGAATTCCCTTTTTGGTCACATCGACCATGATCACTGTCACTCATCAGAAATGAACCTCTTGCAAAGTGCCACAAATATGTGTCCCTTTTTCCCCTATATTGAAACCTAGCAAATACATGCAAATGCTGCATCCGGTGCCCACTTACTGCCTGTTTCTGCGTCACCGAAAAGCGCTCAACGAAGGACTTGACCAACCGCAGATTCAACGGGACTTGTGCCACCTCTTTCGGTGGACGCAGTTCGGGATGACTGAGATGCCTATGGGCCATGCCAAGAGGCATCAGCTTGATATATATAGTTTGATGTGGTGAAACATGTCACGAACATCTGACTCACCTGAGCGAAGGAAACCAATTGGGCCAGATTTTGCCCGCAGCCTCCTGCAGAACCTCTGCATCATCAAACACCTCCAGGTGTAGATTTCTCGCGCTTCCAAAGCTAGCACACAGGGCAAAGTAGCATCTGACCTCAGCTACATCTTTGGGGATGCCAAATGGGCTTGTCCAAAATGGAGGGTATGTCCCGAAAAGGCAATTTTTGCCATGGGATTGAGCTCTTGAAAAGGAAAACTATTGCAGCATGTTTTTCGTCCTTGCCGCGAGGTGCATGCACAGTGCAGCTGACCTTTAATTCAACAAAATTGTAGTGATTGGATTGGTTCAAAGGACAATTTAGAGGAGTCATCTCGCAGAGGGTTCCGGTTTCCTACAAATCTATACAAATCTTCCCTTCATCTTCTGGGATGTCGGCACGGGTGGCCCTTGCAAACTGGCTCTTGGTGGCTATGCCCAGTTGAAAATAACCTTGGGCCAGTGAAGGTCATTTCTGTACCAAAGGTGATTTTGGGTTCACCGAAGCCTCAGGTTTCCAAATCCACCTGCTCTGAGGGTGAAGAATCTGCGCAGAGTCCGCTACTCCACGAGATCAGGGCGTGAATACAATCGTGTCGCGACGCTCAATCAGAAGCACAAGCATCAATGCCTTGGGAAGGCGTTGATGTTGTTCTTTCTGATTGAGCGTGTCGCAAGGTTCGGTTGCGGAGTGCAGCGGCAAAGGCCTTAAATCGCGCCAGGCGGTCCTCTGAGCAATCCAAGCCGTGCAGTTTCTCCAGAAGGTCGGGAAGCCAAAGAACAAGCGTTTGAAACAGGCAACTGACAGCCAACATCAGCATGGCATAGAAAAAACCCAAGCCGTAGATTTTGAAAAAGAAAACTTTCGCAGGGCTGCAGGGGCACAGCCACAAGATGGCCAGGTAGAGGAAGCCAAGGATGAAGGACCACGTCCAGTAGTAGATGTAGTAGCCCACTGGAGACCATGAAGATGCCACAAAGCATTGCTGGCTGTAGTCTGATTGAAAGGCGCTATGGAAATGTCTGATCAACACAGAGGTGATCCGGTTGAAGCCTGGGGTGAAGTGCATGTGCAGGTGATCCATGAAAGCCTTGTGCCGCAAAGGAGATGCCCCTGACACCTGAGATCATGATGCCAATTCCGATCGCCACATCTCTTGCCCTGGATATCACAAAAGCCCAAGGACAGGGTTCCCAGACCCACACAGGAGAGAATGATCACCAGCACTACACCGAAGTGCTTGTGAAGAGTCGTGGCTGAGCCGTTGCCTTTTCATCACCATCAGGTAAGCAAAAATCAGCTGCAGCACTATACCACCAAGCATAGGCACAGCGAAAGTCATGTGCGTCTATAGCTGGCGAAGAATTGATGACGGGGTTGTAACTTGGTGCCGATTTCCGATGGCACTGGCTCATAGGGTTCATTCATGCTGGTGTTCCACCATGATCCATAGATCACGGACCTCAGGCTGTAGCAGAAGATCAAGCCTGGGGCTGCCTACTGCAGCCCCAGGCCATGGCTCAGAGCTCCACTGACCCAAACGGAGATGGCTTGAGATGCAAACCTCAAGCCAAGGACAAAACATATTGATCGACCGCACTTGCCTGTAACGCAGATGGTCCCTTTTATGAGCCAAAAAAACAACATGATCATTTAATATCATTTATATATAAAGACATATTCTTGCATGAGGGAGCTTGAGTGCTGTGTCTGAGCCTCTGACAAACATCGAGTTCTACCCCGGCGCTCGGCATGCGAGCCATCCGCAATTAGCCACTGACTAGCCATGTCTCTCGGCATCCCAAAATGCTCATCTTACAGAAGCTGATGGCCTTTCCTTCTCTTGGCAGTTCTGACTTCAATGTCATCGAGAAATGTTGCAAACCCAGTAGTAAACCATCGATACCATCCCAGTAGCCAACAATCTTTCCGCCAAAAAACTGTGGCCTCTGCAAGTGCTTTCTCTCTTTTAAAAAAAAGTTCTGGACAATGACCCATGTACCTATCATGGTGTGAGTGACTTCTCTTTGCCAGCAAAAAAGTGGTAGAATGGGGCTGCTGGGACAGTTTAGCATGTCCCCTGTTATTGTTGATGTTCAACATTTCATCCGTTATGGTTTTTGTGTTGATGTTCAACATTTCATCCTTGACGTTATTTTTGATGTGTTTTTCCTGTAGGGATTCTGGGGCAAAGTTGATGCTAAAGTGATACATCCCAAAGCCCTCCGCTCCCAGCGCACTGCGCGAAACCTAATGTCGGGGATGAACAAAGGGGTAAAAGGGTCATAAATAGGTGTGTGAACATACAGTGTGGGGTGGGATGTGTGGGTTCAAATTTGTTACAAGTGTGTGTTTGTGAATATTATATATATATACCGTTCCCAAAAAAAAGTAAGGGTTTAATTCATCATTCCGAAAGAATTGGTCTTGAAGGCTGTGTGGCACCTTTATCCAGACTCTGCGACCGATGGGCAGCACCTTCATCAAGTCAACTTCATGGATGACCTTGGGACGTGGTTCTGGAGGAACAGGAGAGCATCCCAGACCCAAAAAATTGGAACCTAATGACCTGATGGATGGGAAGCACCAGGCCAAAAAAGCCTCTGGTCACTTTGCCAACGCCAGCGTTATCCATTTTCAGTCACCAGCTCTGAGCAGGGACTAACTACATTATCTGCATGAATGTGAGGGAGATATTACATAGCTTCCTTTGGAAGACGAACATAAAAATGTCGCTAAATATCGACACAAAACCGCAAAACCTCACTGAAGTGTGAAACTTTGTCGCACCTCCAAACCCGTCAAGACTTCAAGCGAGAATGACTCATCGCTGTCGTCTGTGGACATGTAACGAGGTACGGATGGCAAACGACATCTCGACGATGTACGAATCCTCACAGATTTGCCTTCGCCTTCCGCATGCAGATCTGTCAAGAAAATGGACAGCACATCCTCTGCGAATTGCCGCACACTCCTCTCGTGGTATTTGTAGCCAGACTTACGCAGAAACTCCACTTCTCCACTTTGTGAGCGACCAAGACTGCCGTCTGGTTTTGTTACAACCACAAGCTCACAATTCATCTCCTTTGCTCGACGGGTGTTCTCCATCCACCTCGCGTGTGCAACATGTTTTGATTAAACCTGAAAAATACTGTAGACATTACATGTCCAACAGTCCAACATTGTCCAACTCTGTTTTGGAATGGCATTACAAATTTGAACCGTAGTGCTACAGTGAATATTTCGGGAATCAAGACACTTGCCAATTTATGTTGCCAGGGGACATTTGGAACCAGCGGCAACCCCAGTCCACAGTTTCCCCGTAGAGCATATCACAGAAGCAGCTATTCTCCACTTTGCGGTTGAAATAACTTGTGGCATGGGCTCCATAGCCTGGTGTACTCTTGTCAGGTAAAAAGACACAACTGGTTTTCCAGCCACCAGCGCCCTGCATTAATCGATTCCAAGCTCTGCCGTGTGCGCCAGGAAAGCTCACTATCACTCGATCTCCGTGACTGAACACGGGGGTGCCAAGGAAGGTGACCTTCGCTCCATCTACGACTTCACAGAGCTTATCAAGAGCAGCAGGGGAGAATGATGTCACCACATCCGATGCACGTATTCTCGGCGAGAAGGAGCCACTACGCGCCTCGGAGAACTCCCTCGTCACACTTCGGGGGAATCTGGGCGAGGATGAGCCGCTTCGCGGTGACTCTGGGCACTCCGTGATTGACACACTCCTATGGAGATGCGGCGACAAGCCACCGAGAGCCGATGATGAGCCACGTCGCCACTCGGGAAGTTGAAACGAAAATCTTTTCGCCGCTGACTCATCGGCCCGTTCTGGGTATCCTGAGGATTTTATCTGCAATGTGACAGGTTTCGACCGATCGGGAAAGATCTCATCGCTGTCCCCAATTTTGCCATTCATACTACCCACATGTGAAATCCTGTTCTTTTGGGCCGAAAAAGAAGCTGCATCTGTCCCCAAAAACCGCATCAGAATCAGGCATTCGATACGAATCGCCACATCGCCTTGCAAGATCACTTATTTTTTGAGTTTGTCTGAAAATGGTGTACCGCGGTGTACCCCAAAATCCAGTGCTTTGTCATCACCTTCCCTGCATACATGGCCAACTGTTGGAGGTTACCCATGGTTACCCCATGTTCAGACAGACCCACATTGTCACATGTGCAGTCTGCAAAAGTCCAGTTGCTCACATAAATACTCTGAGTGTCCGACAGAAAAGCTGAGGAAGTACACGATGACACAGTTGTACATGAACTTCATTGGATAGCAGGAAGGCAAGCAAAAGTAAACATGAAAGCCACAACAGCACCCGCAATTGCCCACCTCATCCATTCAAACCATATCAAGCAAAGGTTAGCACCAAATTTGACGCAGAAACTCTCAGACACAAAAACGCATCAACGGTAAGGAACGCACAGTGAACAACCACAGACAAAACAGGCAACTCACGCGACATCTACATGACACCATATGGGGATGTATCAAAACCTATATTGCTATATTTTGAAGGATGAACATCCATAAATACCAGCTATTTTTGGGTTCACTACGCTACCAGGGTTTTGACTCACTCATACCATATTATTACCATATTACTTCCATCAACTATCCTAGCATCCCCGAGGTTCCCCTCCGTGTGTCTTGGTCTATGCGCAAACACTGCCGAAGTTGGAGCCAAAAGGGCACATGCCGAGGCTGTCGTACTCAGGATTGACTCAGGACGCAAGTACGTTTTGCGAAACTTAGAGAGAAGAAGTAATGTAGAAATGAGCATTCAATAGAACTAATTTAGCTAATGAAATACCGTTTTTGAAAAATCAAAACGGATTTTCCTACAATTTCTACCTGATTTTCCGCTCCGATGGCCTTTCCAAGCTTTCGCCTCTCCCGCTGGCGTGCACGCTTGAGGGCCCGAGAGCCACCAGATGCCCTTGGCAAGGCCGCAGCGTGATTCCCACTGCTTCATATTTTGATCCATGGATAATGATTTCAGCTTCTGCAAAATGACAGGCTTCTTGACTGCCAGAACACCTTGCTAATCTCAGTTCAAGATGCTTTAATTGATTCACAATCGGGTACACACAAGGCCTGGGTGGTCTCTTGTCATGCAAAATCATCAGGTTGCATTCCAGCACAAGATTCAAAAAGAGGCTACCATGTTGCTGCTTTTCTTGGCTACAAAAAGCATCAAATAACAACATGAAGCTAAGACAATGATGTTCAGCTTCACCAAGAAGCTGGATTTCCTCACAAACAAACGGGACTTTCACCATGAAAAATGCGGATGTCACTAGCAAAATGTAGATCTTCATCATCCAAAATATCAAAATACCCAGAGGTTTCATACAAAAAAGTTGTTTCCATCATCACCAAAATATGATGTTTTTTGTGGGTACATAGTTATCCATTACAATTCTTAGTCAATTATCCATTCATTCTCCATTGATTATGTTTGTCGCTTGTGTATATATATATATATATATACCCATCATATAATATATCCCATTGCCAACAAGGATCCCATCAATGAAGTATCGATTTATGGAGAATCCATTCAACCATTCTATACCCATCATAATATCATCATAATTCATGGATAGGAATGATTGTATTCCCTTGTATTTACCAAGAAAAAACGGCCAAGACACATCTCCTCTGCTGCACCTCCATCGCCCGCAGGAGGCGCCTGCGCTGGCGCCTCGTCATCGTTGGCGTCGGCCTTGGGCGATCACGGGGAGGGGCCCCCAAGTGATGGCAATTTTAGGCAAACAAAATGATGGGGAAAAAAACCTGGAAAATCATGGGAAAATGATGATCGAACCAAGAAATAAGAAGAAAATAAGACATCCAAAATCCGGTCCTTTTCATCAGAGATCACCAAACAATCATCTGGCCTGGGCCCTTGATGCCCACATCTCACCGCTCTCGCCCATCTTTTGTGACTCAGGGGAGACCTGCACAACCGAGCTGCCAGAGAGTCCAGCTGGGACTTGTTATGGGATGATGATGGAAAGGTCATCTACCCAATTTGGCCAGTAGTTCATGTTCATATATTCATACTTAGTTCAGAGGCTGCCTCCTTTTGAAGGTGCTTAGTTCAAACATGTTCAAACTCTACCCAAGAAATGTTTCGCTAAAAATCGGCTACCCAAAAAGATCATGGTTTAACAATGTTTAACATGGTTTGACCTCGTTTTCCCAATCAAAATGCTCTGGGGCATCTCCGGCAGACGCACCAGGACGCCTTGTGAGCCCGAAGCACCAACTGCTCCACCAACTGCGCCAGTTGCATCTCGAAAGCCGTCCAGGACCTGCGTGGTGGTCCCTCCATTAGTTGTTTTGTCATGTTTTATCAATTTTATCATTAGTTGTTTATCATTTAATGTTGGATAATGTTGGATAAAACAACTAGTGATGATGTTTTATCATTCAACTGTAGATATCTGATGTTATCCAACATTAAAACACCTAGCCATAAAGATCATAAAGCCACTGACCAACAATTGGGCAGTCAGAAAAATTGGGACCAGGTGCTGTGCAGCTGGTACCAGCAGTTGGTGCCACCGCTCGACTCCCAAAGCAGGACTCCGGCGCTTCCCATGGGGGGCCTTGGGCGATCATGGCCAGTTCGCCCCGGTTTGGATGTCCCAAATTGGCTACTCCATGGTACCCAAATCCGGTTTTCATCATCAGTTCACCTAAAAATTGGCTTTTGGCTTTCAGGGTGTAAGTGTAACCCATTTATGGACAAACATGGACAAACCGAATTTTGGTTTCCTTGTGATGGGACCAAGAATGCTACTGCCGGACAGGTGTGTATTTAGTAGGGTTCCCCACCTCTGTCACAGCAACAATTTGCGTTGCGAAGGGCTGCACGGTTAAAACACGCTTTTCGGAGAAGGCATAAAATGCTTCCAAAACAGAGACAGAGATCACGGCAAACAGCTTACATGGAAGATTGGTCACAACGCTGGGAGGTCGTCATCATGGAGGTTGTCGTCGTCGTCGTCATCATCATCATCACCACCACCACCACCGTCGCCATCATCATCTCCATCAATCATCAATCATCAGCAGCATCAACAATAAGCCATCTCTAGGCCCCCAACCTGCAAGGAGAATCTCAAGGCATTGGCTAAGATCATGGGATCTTCATGAAACTCGTTTGGCCACTTCACCAGCTTGAAGACCTTTTGCCCTGATTGTGGTGGCCGACCAAAAGAGAAACGGATTGAACTGGCCGATCCCCAATTTTTTTGGCACAGTTTGGAACATCCATTCCGAATATTCCCCAAGTCCATTCCCACTCCATCTACAATCAGTTATACCTTATAACTATTTATAACTTATATATATATAATGGTTGTAATGGGCTCATCCCTATGATTTTCTTCTGATCATCCCCATATATCCGCATGCCCATCATCCCCCAGCCTTTGTGCATGAATCCATCAAACTGCATCGTGGCCAGCAGAGGCAGCTGCGCTTGTTCGAAGGGATCAGGTCCGGTGGCGCAGCCAAACTGTCGCGCTTGGATTTCTGCAGCCCACAGCATCTGCATCCCACCATCCTGAAAATCTGATGTAGCTCTGGAATATACTGGAAATTGATACCCTCTGGTAAACTAACATAGCTATTGAAAATGGTGATTTTCCATAGTTATATTAGTTTACCAGAGGGTACATGATCTTCCAATGAGAAATGGAGGATTTCTATTACTTCGATTGCCATCGTCTATTACCCTAGGGCAACCAGGGTTTTTTTGGCCGCACTGCTAAGCCGCTAAGCCCAGGGCGATCAATCGAACACATTCCTGAGCCACAAGACATTCAATACAACGCCAAATGCCCACACAGTACACCTTCATATCCTGCAGCAGGAACTACCATGATCGCGAGGGGTCCCAACTTGGGGGCGCTGAATCCCAAAATCTGCGCTGAAAATATCCTGCTGGTCGCCAATCTGATCACATTCTACGTACATTTTCCGATTTTTTGTGCCGCATCTCCATTCTCCATTGGCCCTACCAACATCTCTCATACTTGTGCGGTTCCGCTTAATGAAATTTAAGAAATGGGTATATCTAACCATAACATCTCAATTATATAATGGTGCCAACAGTCCATCTGCATCCCCCCCCGTAGTAGTACACCATCCTTTTCGTTGATGCCCCCAAATTCACTGGGTGCCCAGCTGGTTCTTCGACGCACAGCAAGCGAGCCCGCTCCTGGTCCAACATGATCAAACCATGCCAAATGGTTGTGGGTCTACAATGGATACCCAACAAAAAAAACAAGTCTGTTGTCGTTTGAGTAGGAAATCATCCATTGCTGGTGCTTTTACAATCTTGACCCACTCCCAAATGAAGAGAAGAGACAAATTATATAGAGATGGTCATCCACACAATTCTGCTATGTTGACGTGGCACGGATTCCCAAATGATGCAGGCCTCATATGTTTTTATTACAGTATATCAGGCATCAAGAGTTGCCAGTGATCTCTTGATTTTCCTCCTTAGACAAAACAATGTTCGATCAAGTGACTCCAATAAATTCGCATCTCATCAAAACAAACCATGAAGAAAGGCAGTGACTCGCCTCTGCCGGAAGCCGCGCCCACGCGGCCAAAAGCTCATCGTCCATGGCGCGGTATGAGCAACTCGCCAACTATGATATGGGTTTGGTACCTGAAACTGTTGGCAAAACTGAAAACCCTAACATCCCTTGGTTTATCACAATGTTATCCGCTGAAATGGTGTGTTCTGGTGAGGTATTCCCCCTTTCCATAGTGGAACGGATAGATTTAAAAATCTGGCAGCTGGTTCTTGGACGGTCTGAGATGTTTGTTGCAACTTCTTATTTAACCTGTATATTTCCAAAGGGAATTTTGACATGTGTTGACCTGATCTTGACCAGCAAAGTTGCCATCCGCTCGGCTGGAGAGACACTGAGTCTACTAGAGTGAAACCTGGAAATAGCTGCAGCATCTGCTGGACATGGGAAAAGGCAGTTTGCACCGGCAGGGATAGTTATCATTGGTGATTCATGCTCGACAAATGGAGCTGTTCTTCAGATGATTGCAACTGCTTTAGGCCTTCAGAGGCTAGTAGAGTAGACAGTCCAAGCTGGTCTGATCCAAGATGTCTCCTGGTTCCATCTATGAGAATATGAGAATGGCAACCTAAAAAGAACCAACTTTGAACTCTGGACTGTCAAACTGATTTTACGAACATGTTGCCAAGATGACAAGTATTGAAACATATTGAAACCACTGGACTAGAAGGCTCCAGACAGCCCCTCAGTCTCAATCAAAATGGTAGTCAGCCCACTGTGTTGGTACTGGTGCAATGTGACAGTTCCTGCATTGAACTGCTGCAAGTCCAACAGATCCAATCAAGAACCTATGCCTCAAGAAAAATGTTTCCCTCCAGAAAATGAAACCTAGAATTTTGAATGTCCAAATCTCCTCCACCCGGAATCTACAGGTTTTCGGTTTTCATCAGAGAAACCGTTTTTTTTCACCGAAAAAAACACTGAGGGGAAAGCAGTCCTGGTCTTTTGAGGCGCCATCCCACAGCGTACGTGGCAATGATAAACCACCCATATGGATTGATGGTTCATAGATGTTTATAGCACCCATAAAATTTGTAAAATTGGGGATGGTTTATTATTGTTTCACCAATATCAACATTCTTGTGCACTTTGACACCACAATGTTTGTGGCTGTGCATCCAAGATCGTTATCCTGAGCCTCACACACGGAGCACCCAAGCAGTTCCGTGTCTTGGCGGCTGAAAAACAACCTGAAACAAAGACACGCGGTTGCTGGCGGATGTGCACAGAGGATCTAAACATCCGACGCACCTAGACACATAGCGATGATAAGATGCAGGTCAATATGCTAATGAACGCATGATGAGGATGAGGATGAGGATGAGGATGAGGATGATGATGATGATGATGAGGAGGAGGGGGAGGAGGAGGATGAGCACCCGAAGCGATGCCTCACCAGTTCGAAGCACCAGGGGTGCATACCAAACAGCGAAACAATACATTCCAGGGGCCTCGATGCCAGTGGTATGACATGGTACGACCTTTGGCAAGGCACCAGCTTCACAAACTCAGCAAGGTTTTGACCGTGTCGATGGCTTCATCCACTGGGAAAACCTTCGCGTTTGCGCTGTGGATTGATCAAATGGATGCAAATCGTGTTGTCATACAACTCTTCGAGCTGGGTGGGTTCGGGGTGCTCCGTACTTTTCTGTTGTCGAAAAGCAGCTGTTGATTCTCAGGGGCAAAGCCCGAAAACTCGAAAAGTCGAAAAGTGGAATCCATGCGTGATCTTTCGACTATTTGTAGCAATGAAAGGAATAGTTCTATATATATATACAAAAATAAGCTTCAGTGGTATCCCAACAGCCGCAACTTTTTATTTTTAGACGTCTTTCTGAAGCGTGCTGCGAAGCCAAGCGCTGGAAACACCTCAGCTGGGTTTCCGTGAGTTATATAAATGGCCGCAAATCCTGTTGAACCTGACCTGGCTCTGCACACTAAAGCGTCCCAGACCTTCTCCGAAACCTTCTCCGGATCCCTGTTGAACCTGACCTGGCTCTGCACCAAAGCCTCCCGGAACGTTCTCCGGAACCTTCTCCGGAACCCTGTTGAGCCTGACCTGGCTCTGCACCAAAGCCTCCCAGACCTTCACCGGAACCTTCTCCACCTGACCTGGCTCCACGCCAAAGCCTTCCAGACTTTCTCCGGAACCTTCTCCCGAACCTTGTTGAACCTGACCTGGCCCAGACCTTCACCGGAACCTTCTCCGGAGCCCTGTTGAACCGACCTAAGCCTCCCAGAACCTTCTTCGGAACCCTGTTGAACCTGACCTGGCTTTACACCGAAGCCTTCCAGACCTTCTCCAGAACCTTCTCCGGAACCTTGTTGAACCTGACCTGCTCTGCACCAAAGCCTCCCAGACCTTCTCCGGAACCTTCTCCGGAACCCTGTTGAACCTGACCTGGCTCTGCACCAAAGCCTCCTTGACCTTCTCCCGAACCTTCTCCGGAACCTTCTCCGGAGCCCTCTCCGGAACCCTGTTGAGCCTGACTTGGCTTTGCACCAAGGCTTCCTGCGGAACCTTCTCCGGAACCTTCTCCGGAACCCTGTTGACGTGACCTGGCTCTGCACCAAAGCCTCCCAGACCTTCTCCGGAACCTTCGGAACCTTCTCCGGAACCTCGTTGAATCTGGCCCGGCGCCTGCGCTAGCGCACACCGGAGCTATTCTGGGCTGAAGACATCATTAGCTTTTACGCTGTCGGGGAAAAATAGAAAATACACTCAAGCCGTGATCACTAAAGCAGGAATCCTTCAATACCATGACTGAGAACTACACACCCGCAACGATAAAACCGAAGTATCAAAGAACAAATGGGAAATCATTGAGCTAGTTTCTCTTGCCCATCAAAGAATGCCAGGAAGACAAGGAAACATAAGGGGCCAGGGAGGACAACACAAAGATCACAATCAAAATGCAAGTATTCCTAGATGAGAAATAAGGGAAAACTAGAGAGTCCAAAGCTTCTGTTGCAAAACGCGAAAAGGTCAAACACGGCCGCTACGTAATTAAAAAGTCCGGAAATGCGAAAAACTTCCAAGTCGAAAAGTCAAAAACAACCCCGTGTGGAAAAACACAAAAAACGCGAAAAGTAGAAAATTAGAAAGGAAAAGTCGAAATCGAAAACTTGAAAAATCGAAAAGCGGCCCAGCACGGGAAAAGTCGAAAAACACGAAAAACACGAAAAACACGAAAAACACGAAAAACACGAAAAGGATCGCTTTTCTACTTTTTGACTTTTTGTCTTTTATCACTTTTCTCGTTTTTCTACTTTTCTACTGCTGCACTTGTTTTACTTTTACTTTTCTCACTTTTCTCATTGTTCTATGTTTTTGCAAAAAAAACGAAAGGCAAAAAGCACAAAATATTTGACTTTTTGACTTTTCTCGTGTTTCTCGTTTTTCTAATTTTTGACTTTTCTCGACCAAAAAACGTACACGGACAAGAAGATACCAAACGTCGCCTCTAACTGCCTTAGTCAACTTACTGGCACTGAATTCTGATTCCATATGAAATAAATCAAACCCATTCAAAACCAATTCTGCCATACTTTGAGGGTCGAACCCCCATAAATTTCAGCTATGTTGGTACTAGATGGTAATAGCACTTAGTATTCACCAAGCGTTTTCATCCATAGCCGCCATGTCGCCATATTTCTGCCACGCAACATTATCAATGCCAGCAGCGCAGCCACGGATGAGACTGGCAAAGTGACTGGACTCGTCTGCCGAAAGGGCTGCCGGAGGACCTGGCGATCTGCATTTAGAGGTGATGTAGCTGCTATAGCCCCAATAAATATGGCCATTCAGAAGTGGGCAAGATATGGGGAAATTATGTAAAATTAGATTTAACATCATCATCAAAACATCACAACATTTTGAACCACTGGATATTTGGGTGTTCGTTGTTTTTGGGCAAACCCATTTCGAAGGCAGATAAAATCCCGTTTTGATCCTTTTTTAGGGGAAAACCAGTAAACCAAAAAAAAAACAGACAACATTTGTTGATTCGGGTTCTTTTTTGGTTGTTCTCAGGTCTACACTGATTCTTTTTCAAATGGGGAAGGAAGAGTGTCTGGTCCCAAAAAATGCGCCTGGAACTGGAACCCTAAAACACCATTTCCACAAAGAGAATGTCTTCCACATCGATATTTTCGGTGTCCAAATTTGTTTTCACCGTTGTGAAGTCCGGGACATTTTTCCCAACCCCCAGTGGATGACTGGGACAATCGCGCCTGTTTCGATCACTCGCCCTGCGTCTAAGACTGCGATCAAGTCGGAGTCCATGACGGTCTGCAAACGGTGAGCCACAATCAGCATGGTGCATTCCTTGAATTCATTGTGGAAGGCCTGAGCGCCGGCAGGGGCGACTACCAATTTGGACAAATCATGGCACCACCTGAGGTCTGCAAGGCAGAACCTGTTGAATGAACAAATACATTTTCTTTGGCCTAGCCCCGAAATGTCCCAAAGGTCCACCAAAATCATCGCTGAATCAGGACATCTATCTTCCAAAGCCCCGTTATTTAGCTCCTAGAAGATCTCGTTGATGAGCAGGACTGTGCCCAAAACATTTGCCCCCAGTTTTTCAGCATGTTCCCCATTATCCTGCTTCAAGGACTCGCCTCCTGTATCAGGGCATCGGTTTCACCATCCACGCAACTGGTGGCTTCGTCCACCAGAACGATGGAAGAGCTCCGGGCGATGCAGCGGGCAATGCACAGTCTGCAGCGTTGCGGGCTGTCTCTATGGGGTACATCCCCCCTAATGGCCATTTTTAATGGGAAAATCATGACAAACCATGAGACTTCGGGCTAGCCTGTTGGCAAACTGAAAACCAACATGTTACAACGTTAGAATCCACCAGGAGAATTTGGATTTGACAAGGAAAACAAACTGGGATGAACTGGGATATTCACCAACAACGAGGTGGTGGCCTTAACAAAACGCAATGGGTTCTTCACCAACCAAAGTGTTCCAAAAAGCATGGGCTATTTCCAGACTTGGGATTGATCCTAGGCCCGTACCTGCTCAATCACGGCTTTTCCATGACAAGGTGAGCAAGCGCATTGAAAAACTATTATCAATAACCTGAAAGTGTGGAACATCATTCACATCTCTGCGACAAAATGCCTCCGACGCAAAACGGAACAGTCTGATGCAGTTTCCATGGATTAACTGACCTCAGCGGTGTTTAAAATCCGCAACGTTGTCTCTGGTTTTAGTTGTTTGAGAGCGGCCTTCCATAACGGAGTCAGTTCATAATCCATTAAACATGCCCTACACCAACTAACATCAACCCTGGATCAAAAAGAAAAACTGGCCTGCTTCATCAGAGGGTCCCATCTTAATGAGTACCAAATCAGTGAGAGCCCCAAAAAAATCAAGTGAAATCCCAAGGAATGAAGCCATTGACCAGGCTGGTCAGGGTCGTTACGGGTCACTCTGTGCTGCTGAAGCACAACTGTCTCTGCCCCAGGCTGAAATTGGTCCCTCGCATCTCCACGACGGCTGACAGGCCACCTGCCACAGGGGTTGATTGGGTACCTGTGTGGACCCTGGGGGTACACGACAAACTTCAATTTGAAGGGGGGAAATGATGGGAAATGATGATAAACATCTATATATGATATAAAGATATATAAAGTATCATGTTCTTTTTTGGGGGGGTACATGATTTTGAGCCATTGGCGTATCCAACATATACGATAACCCTATGATTTCTTTGAATTCGCATATTGTGTTTGGAAACAAAACGGGTCTGATCGATGGCTGACAATGGCCACTTAGGATTCGACAAATGGACTCGTCAGCATGTTTTTTATTGAAGGTTTGTATCCAACAAAATGACCATATTGGCAGTTCTGCAAGTTTGGGTCCGTGTGTTTCTCCACTAAACCGTGGCATTCTCAAATTCTGGTGTCCTCAAGAAAAAAAACAAGTCCTCTATCGTAACACTTCCAAACGGAGGCTCCGGCACCTAAAGATTGCAACTTCCCATCAAGGTGCACCTGTCCAGTGTTTGGTCAAATGGATACAGCAAACCCAGTAGATCCAATGTGGTCTCCAATGTTCAAGGGATCGGTTTGGAAAGCAGGTATGGAACACACAGGCAGTGAGAAACCGGGGAACTGGCTGCAACAATTTATATTTCAATATTTGTGTTCCTTCTTCTTTGATCCAGAATCATTGGAATGTGAAGCTCAGCAAGGCGGACACCTGACACCTCTCGGGCACCCGTTGACCTTGATGAATCTGTCACTTGATCTATGACCAACCAGCAAATGGTGCCATGGTGCCTTGCTCACCGCTTTCATCAGCCCTTCCATGGGCAACGTGCCAGTAGGATCCAGGTTCTGCGCCACCGATCCACTCCAAAGGATGGGCTCCTGACCACGGTCATGGCCAGAGCATCAAGCCACTCCGCCCCCGGGCCCTGCCTGGGGCACCAGGGAGATGGAAGCCCTGAGACTCTTCAGATCAATCTCCTGAATGTTCACGCCTCAGTTTTCGACTGGATTTAAAATCTTCACCGGAAAAGTGGAAAACCATGAATTTGACTCCCAAATATTGTGGCATCCTGTGGATGTTCCCTGAAAGGAATTCTGGGACTTTCGGGCTGTCGAACTGGTCAGTCGAATTGGTCTAACGAATAGGTCAAATTTAAAAAAACTCAAAAAAAAACTCTTGTATGCTCCGGTAATTCAACATGGCCGGAAAAGTTTGATGCTTTTCTCAGCTATAAACCTCCATTTACAATGGATCCCATAGTCCCCATAGTCTGCCATGCCATAGTATACCTTGTTTTCCCACACTTTTCCCACAAAAGAAAGGGGATTTCGCATTGCCGTGAGCCAAGTGGCCACCCACCAAGATGGTTCCGGAGGACGCTTCGGTGATGCGAAGCAAGGCGCTCAGCAGACCTTAAAAGCAGAGCTCCACCAAGCCATCCCGCGTTGGTTTGATAGGAATCATAAATACTCAATCCATGCATAGATAGTACAATATATGTGTTATATAATATATATATATATCATTGTATGATATATCATTCACATGTCATATTATACATTTTTCTGTGCACAAATTGTGAACTGTTGATGTTCATTGGATTTTGCCAGACTTCGTAATCCTGGTGTCTACCAAGTTTCTGGGAGGTTAATCCCTGTACCAGGCTCGGGTGAAGGTCTGAAAATTGGAGAAAAACCCGACAACCCCCCACCCCTCAAATTCCATTTTGGTGGCCCATTTTAGTGGCTTACAAACCCCAAAAACGATCAAAATCCTGAAAAGAATATGAGCAGCACCTTCAAGAAATCAAAAAAAAAACATAAGAACATCAAAAGGATGATCAAAATCATGAAGAAATCGTTTTCCATTGAGTAAAATCCACATGTCGAAGGAACTTGGCCTGTCCCCTCTGCCAGGACGCTGGACTTTCCGCTGCCCGTCCTTCCAACCAGGCCCACCTGCGGAATATCTGGTAAACTAACATGGTTATCGAAAATCACCTTGTTTCATAAGTCAGTCATCTATTGATGGTGAATATTTCGATAGCTATGGTAGGTTACTGGATGGATCTGGATGGTATATTTTTATTTATAATTAAATATGCACAAGTGTATGCGCAGTAATAATGATGAACCGTGATGAGGCTTGCCCTTTTTGATGATTATAGTAACTGCAACAATAAAGAAAACAAACAACGGCAACAACAACAACAACAAACAAAAACAACAGCAACAACAACACTTGCAGCAGCAGCAACAACAAAAAAACAACAAACAACTAACAACAAAAGCAACAAAACAACCCCTCGGGGGGAAAACCTCGCCAGCGGTTGTGAGCGTTTTGAAAAAATGTCGGTTTCGCCATAGCGAAACTATTGATTCATTCCACAAATAGGCTTAAAATTGCCCGGGAATTTGAAGTGCATTTTTGATGATGTCCAGCAATTTACAGAGAATTTGCTCTTCAAAACGCGCGCGATGTTTTCCTCCTCTCACATCGCCATGCGCTTCTTCAAAGAGCGACCAGTGACCTCCAAAAGGTTTTTTGATTTGGAGTTCATCCAACGCCATTGCCACACCCTGATGTTTCGCATCAGTTTTGGGTTCAGATGGCTGTTGACTCTGGTCGCAAGGCTACATGGTATGGCCGATTTTATGAAACAAAGCACTCTGATTGTATGAAACGCTAATCACAACATGAAGCTTCGTGTCGACAGGTTACAAGGTCTTGTTCCTGTTTTACATCTGTATCAACATCTGTGCGCAACCTACAATTATGATGCCAGCAAATGCCACCAAGGGGAAACCCAGACATGACGTAACATGTGCATGTGACGCAAGTTAACATGAACGATAACACACCCCACCCCCCCAACCCAAGACGTGACGAAGCACGTGCATGTGACGCAAGTTAACATGAACGTTAACACACCCCACCCCCCCAACCCAAGACGTGAATGATAACACACCACCCCCCCCAACCCAAGACGTGACGAAGCATGTGCTGTTTTATGAACGTTAACACACCACCCCCCTCCCAACCCAAGACTTGACGTAGCATGTGCATGTGACGCAAGTTAACATGAACGTTAACACACCCCCCCCCCCCCAACCCAAGACGTGACGTAGCATGTGCATGTGACGCAAGTTAACATGAACGTTAACACACCCCACCCCTCACCCCAACCCAAGACGTGACGAGCATGTGCATGTGACGCAAGTTAACATGAACGTTAACACACCCCACCCCCCCCCAACCCAAGACGTGAATGATAACACACCCCACCCCACCCAACCCAAGACGTGACGAAGCATGTGCTTTTGACGCAAGTTTTCATGAACGTTAACACACCCCACCCCACCAACCCAAGACGTGACGTAGCATGTGCATGTGACGCAAGTTAACATGAACGTCAACACACCCCACCCCCCCAACCAGTAACATATGCTTGGTTTCAAAATCGTGCACGACTGCTGGCGCGGTTTTCCGCCCGCTGGCAAAAACAAGAGCCAGAAGAAGAACAAGAAGAAAACGAAGAAGAAGAAGAAGAAGAAGAAGAAGATGAAGATGAAGGAGAAGAAGAAGAAGAGGAGAGTGCTAAGAATGTCTAATAATAAGAATGACAACAACCGCCATTATCATAATATGATGTCATGCATCACCTATTGTCATCTATAATTAACTGGAGGCTACTATCATCAACTGGAGGCTATCATCCCAAAGTGGATGGTGGAAAATGGAATGAATAATATGATTTGAACCACCTGAAAACATGAAACCTCTCTGGACCACACCTCTCAGCTCCTGTGTCAAAAAAACATGGCATGGCCGAGCCTTTTGTTTCGCTTGGATGGTAAGGCTCAAGCCATTCAGCACAGGATGGTCAGGGCGATATTGCATCACCACATCCGTGAAGGAGATATCCCCTGGGAGCAGCTGAAGCAGACGGCAAATGGTGTTCTGAGAGCCGGTTTCAAACCAGGGCCATTTGGGCAGGTTCTAACCCACAAATCAAACACTAAACTTCCGACAAAGGTCGGCTTGAAACCATCCAATTTTTTTAGTTTTGCCAAGAGTTTGACCCACTTTTCAAAACTGTGCAGTGCAATTAGACGGGCAGAGACCAGGGCACCCACAGGCAAATATGATGTTTTTTGCGTCGCTTTGCAGCGGCCACCCTCCCTGTAGGACAGCGCAAGCTTATGGAAGTGTTGTAATCGCTCGGCCGCCACAAACCTCAGATTGTGACACCTCCAAGGTGGGGTAAAGCGGGATAATAAGGTGGGGATTTCGGATTGGTGGAATTCATTGGATAATCTTTGGAAGCTGCCCGAGCAGCTCTTATGAAAAGAGGCACATAAGGTTGGCTGAAATCATGGGTTGCTACGCTGCAATTGCTCATCGTCAAGTTGTGAGGATTTCGGAGCTTGTTGCAGGGTCAACCTGAAGCATGTACCACTGCATCCAGAAACATAACTACAGCAAAAGGAAACCATGTTTTCAAGTATGGATCCCATTGTTTGAGAAAATCGAAAAATGCATAAACCTGGATTTCGCTTGGTGGCTGGGGTTTGGCGGCAAGGGCCCCGAGTGATTCATGACAAAACACTTCAGGTGTGGAACCAGCAGCATTGTGATCCTCAATCAATATAGGGATGTATTGCCAAGCTGTCCGGCGAGAAAGGACGGAACTCACCAAGGGCGTCTGCTAACCAAAGGCAATGGTCAATGGGTCTCCCCAGTCGTGATAGTCACAACCTGGTAAGCCATGTGAGGTCTGTAGAATCCATGACCCAGGGGGGGACCCATAGATATCCCAAATATTTCGGTATTTTTGACATTACATCAACGATCCAACGATGTACCCTCTGGTAATTTAACGTAGCTATTGAAAATGGCCATAGAAATAGTGAGTTTTCCCATTAAAAATGGTGATTTTCCATAGCTATGTTAGTTCACCAGAGGGTACCAAAAAAAAAATGAGTACACAATCGCTCGACACCACCTGCCAAGGAACTGGTTCTCCGCCTCGATGGAGAGGCGGATGCCTGCAGGCGATCCCATCGGTTGGTAGCAATATCTACCTAGCTATCTGCCTATTTATCCATCCATCCATCCATCCATCCATCCATCCATCTATCTCATCTATCTCATCTATCCCTCTGTATATATATATATATTATATATTATATATATATATATAAATATCTCTCCCTCTATCTCTCTATCTCTCTCTCCCTCTCTCTATCTCCATATACATTTTCATATCACAAACTGCACAAGTTGTGCTGTCAAACACATCCTCACTGGACGCGGCAAGTTACAGAATTGGAGTTTCCCGCGTGTCATCAAGGAATATGAGATGGCCATAGTCGCCACACTGACCTCGCAGGGATGATCGCAAATGGATCAATTGGAGTTGGATCAATGGTTCATGGATGGTTTATGGATGGTCATGGATGGTTTATGGATGGTTTATGGATGTTTATTGATGGTTATTCCCCCAGTTATATGGTAATTTCATAGGGGCACATTCCCAGGAATCTGATGGCAGCCCTGACAGCACCAAGCAACATTCCAGCTGAGTTGCGTCTACGGTTTCACGCGCAAAAACGACGAAGGCACAGGCAATGCTAACAATGGCAGAGCCCAAACTGTCCAACACAAGGATGCCTTGGATCTAATTCTAAAACGACAGTGTCACTTGGACTCCGATGGGTTTTTTAATGAGTCTCTCTTGTGCAGAATTTTTTCAGCAAGACTCAACATCTCAGACATCTCAAGATCACGACTTGTTGTTATTCCCCATCTATCAAAAAATCTGAAAAAGTTTTAGCAGATCTTGGTCGGGTCGCACCAAGGTTGGAGGACATTCGTCTGGAAGAAGACCTTGCCGTTGCGGTCCAGGATGCTTTGGAAGTGTCGCACCAAGCCTCCCTGCCTTGGACTCGCTGGAATCATGGAGCAGTGTCAAGTTATCCCATTCAATTAACATTAAATTACCATCCATTCATGAAAATCTACCAGCAGGAAATTAGATGACTATCCCATTTCAATTTCCATTCATCCCATTGAACTTATCCATTATAATACCATTTTAATCCCGAAATTAATGAACCAATTTTCAAAAGCGGGAATTGGGTACCGTGTTCCCCCGAAAACAATAGAAAATCAGCCAACACATGTTCAGAAGTGAAGATAAATCTGATAAATCCACATGCAAATCTGCAAAATCCAATCAACTCCAGTTAGAATCACCATGACTCACCCAAAAAATCCGCCCCCAAATAAAAGAACAGCATGCTTTTCCCCCATCCCAACACAAAAAACGTCAGGTCACTGCTGATGTGCTCGCAACGTGGCAAGGCCATCGGCCACATCTCCCATAGCGGAATACAAAGGCGCCCGCGTCACGCCATCCAGGCGTTTGGTCTCCCTGGCCGTGCCTGGAGGAAATGGCAGATGTGAAGCCAACAAAACGTGGGGATTTCTGTGGGGATATATATTTATGTATACATTGGTATTTATAATGTGTATATAATTTGGGATATATATATATATACATGTATATATATATATAAGTCAATAAATATATATATATATATATGTCTATATATATATGTGAAAAAGTCAATATATCTGGCTTGTTCCAAAATGGGGACTGGGGGGAATTACCCCCAAGTCATGCAAATTTGAATAGGGAAAATAGAGTTTTAGACCACTGGATGAACTAGGATAGCCTATTTTCAGGAAAGATTGGGCAGCGGAAATCTTGGACACTTCCAAGTTAAAACCTCGGACAGTTGGTCCTGCAAAAAGTGTGCTTTTGGGTGGTTGTTTTGTTTGGAATCAAGTGCAGTCTATCATTCAAGTTTCGGAAACACCAGCACCGCAAATACCATCAAATTCCCAAAAGACTGGCATACTCATGTGTAGTCGTCCAGGAAACCAAGAGAGGCTCCACTGTCTATATGTGCTGGTCAAAACATGGTATAAGTGTATGGGTATATACGGTATATATATAATATATATTATATATGTATGGGTTTTGGTCATCCGTCTTATATTGGGAATCCTTATTATGGGTATATAAACCCTTATGAATGAATGATAATTAATGGATGGAATGAATGATAATTAATGGATGGATGACCAATTCCTCTTAGGGAAATCAACCCATGGCACTGACCATGGCACTGCCATCTGTCCATCCTGGACAGGCCCAGGCCACAGGAAGGCCATCACAGGCAAGAGACAACTGAAGAACTTTCGAACACGGTAGAACGCAAAGAGCACCTTGGATCACCAGCAGCTTTTTCACCAACACTTCAACGATGACCACAATTTTAGAACGTTGATCAAATATATATATATATATATGTAGTCTGGTTGGTGGTTTTAACCATCTTGAAAAATATGAAAGTCAATGGGAAGGATGACATGCCATATATGAAATGAAAAATAAAACATGTTCCAAACCACCAACCAGTAGTGGTATTTTACACTGAAAAATGACCAGCCTTTTGTGGGGCGTACCCCTGACTTACCCGCTTACCCTTCACAGCGGAGACACCGGAACGACTCCCAGCGCAGCGAAGGGCGTGGACCAAACACAGACCACCACAACACCCAGCAGCATCGTGAAATCCTGGGGAGGTTGGAGATGGAATGAATTGGTTAACGAAGTGCACTTTGATGAATGAAAACTAATGAAATCAGACAATCACAGCAGAAAAGTCCCAGCATGCACTTCATGCACTCCCTTCAAACAATCTGAAGTTTCGCCACACCAATCCCTGCCCTGATCCTGCAAGAAGTCGAGGAGATACTGCGGCAGCAGAGCGTCCACGGCATCAACATCTTTGGAGAAATGGCCCAAGATCCGGCCTCGCGGTATGGTGTCAAAGAAGTCCAAGGATGCAGACATGACCCCCTCCAGCAGCTGATGATGGATGCTCCTTGAGGATGTGATGGCGATGCGGATCACCAGCCATGCACGGGGAAAAGGCACCGCTGGTTGCCAGGGAAAGCCAAAGGCAAAAACTTCGGAAGTCGTTGGAAGATTCTTCCTCTGTGTTGACAGCATCCCGAGCAGCCCACAGTCCCATGAAGCGATCCGAGTAGACCCTCACGGCTTCAACGGACAGCATGCTGAGTAAGACACCACCCAGACAGATGAAGCCCAGGCTATGCCGACCAGATCCGAAATAATAAGTGAATGTGGCCAAATTCAAGCGTCCAGATTGAGAGACTTCTGCATTCTCCAGCACTGCGACCTGATTTCCAAGCTCGGTTTATGGTTTATTAGTCACTCGTGCCATCTCAGCCATAGCAGCTATCATAGCAGCTACCCTCTGGTAAACGTTTACATAGCTATGGAAAATCACCATTTTTAATGGGAAAATCCACTATTAATGGCCATTTTCAATAGCTACGTTAAATTACCAGAGGGTATCATAGCAGCTATATCATAGCACCAAGTTTAACAAAAAAAGAATCAGGCACCTCATCAGTGAAAAGCTCCGCATCGCAGGATGGAACGCGCTTCTGAATGTTTGAGATGGTTTGCTGACATGTTTGCCACGTTGACTCGCCACACGCCGCGCTCCACTCCTCGATGCTGGGAAAAATGGAGGCCACACCATCCACCAGGTGAAGAATTCCTTGTGGCATCAGAAAAAGGATCCACCAAAAATGGTCAACGGTTATTGAAATATGATTGAAATACTGAAATTACATAAATTACTATTGAAATACGATTGAACATACTATTGAAATACTATTGAAATACTTGAAAGATACTTGAAACATACTCGGCATGTACTTTGATTACTAAGGCTATACTTCAAGGACACTTGATTGACCTCAAGGAAAAGTCTTCCGTCGTGCTCTCAAATCAAAGCTTCTGTGGGCTTCCCGAAGTGCGACGAAATTTGAGTTCATGACCATCACGACTGTCCTCTCGGTTGCACCCATGGAAGTGCCGACACGGCCATCCAATGGTCATGGTTCAAAATGGAGCAACTGCTGAAGGCAACCAAACATGAAGAGACTATGAAATACTATGAATTACTATGAAATGTTTGGGCGGCAATTTTCAAGCCATTCCCAGCACTCAAGCGACTCAAGGCTCCTGTTGCCATCCAAGAGAATACCCAACAGAGCCTCTTCGCAGATTGCACGCGCCACATGAACATCCACTGCAGCCAGGCAATCATCCAGCAGAACTAGCTCCACAGTGGACACCAAGCAGCGGTACAAGACATGTGCCAAGCCCAACCTATTCCAGGGCCACAAAGCCAGGGCCATTTCCAATTCGAATTACGTGTGTTGAATCAGTCTTTCAGTTGAAAGTCCGCCCTGACAGCGGTTTTCCTGGTGCTTTGAGAATATTCTGGAAACAGAAGCTCGGAGGAATGTTTTTGGGCTATATGTGGTTTCAGAGGGTCATTGGTCCGAATGCGGTATTTACAATTGGTACAATTGGTACAATTGGTAGTCAATGCTGCCCAGTGACCTAGCCGAGGCACACTTTACACACAATGTCATGGCATATGTCAGCACCTTTGCATCTTCACTGTTTCTGGTAGTTTGATGTATCTTGAGCTCCTTTGGAGCCAGGAAGTAATCAAACCCGGCCGGTCTTCCCCATGCCCTGCCTCGCCCGTTGCCCACCAGACAAAGTCGTGCCCCTGGTCCCCACAGGATGAAGGTCGCCTTTTCCAAACCCTCAAATCTGGCAGAAGTTGTGCAGCCCGTAAGGCACGCCTGGACGACCCAGGGTAAATCCAAGAGGAAGACAACTCGCTTTTAACCCAGAACTTTGGCTTTACAGTGGTGCAAAGTGCTTAATGTCTGGCTGACTTTTACTCTTGTCTTCTTGTTCTCTGATTTTTCAACCTGATATCGACGCTGCTTCTCAAAGCCATTCTCCTTCAAGACACGGGAAGAGATACTCCAAAATCATGCAATAAACGTACAAATCGTACAAAATCGTACAAAATCTCCTGCAGGATTGTACAACCTATGGCCCCAACCTATGGCCCTATGGTCTGGCACCACCCTTTCCACTGGATCATGGTACCAGTAGAGCTTCTCGTCATAAGGAAGCTCTTGAAGCACCGCTTCTCGAACAGTGCCACTTCGGATCCAAGGTGTCTGTGCCAAGTACGCAACACCTGCTCGAAGGTCGTTGCAGGGGTGCTGGCTAAACGGGGTGCTTGAACCAAGATGCCAGTAGTAAAGGGTAGGAAAGCGTAAGGGTAGGAAGGTAGATGATTTTTTGTTCTGGGTCATACTTGCAGTTTAGACCTACTGTACATCCTCCTGACATGCTCTATGTGGTTCATGTGCAAGATGCAAGACAACGAAGCACGATCCATTTGGGACGTTTGTTGGGGTGGGTAGAGTTTGCTACAAGTTTTTGATTGGTCACCTTTTCTGCCTACTTTTCAGCGTTATAACTATAACCGCTAGACCACGGCTAACTTCACAGACGACGGCTGATGCTGCGTCTACGGGCTGATGGGTGTCCAACTCAGCAAGAAGATGTCCATCCAGAAAATATGGTGTCCCCGAAATCCACATGGTTTATCATAATTTAACCATTTTTCATGGCAACATGAGGTGTCGGACCGCCTGGCAGGCACACAGAGGCAGACGCGTCACCTTTCATCTCACCCAGCATGGCCAAGAGAAGTGACGACTTTCCAGCTGCAACACGTCCACAAACAGCGACCAACTCACCTGGCATGGGTCCAATTTTCGTCCCCAAAGCCACAGATGGATTGGCCATGGGGCCATGACTGGCCCATTTTGTCATGTTGTCTTCACCCACCAAATCTTTCTGCACGGCTTTTGGTAATCTGCGCCTGGCTTTAGGGACAGATCAATCCTCAGGCGGCTGGTGGCACTGTGTGAAAAGCTGCCACGGATGTGAGGAGTTTTCGGAGCTGTCTCGATGTCTCGATCCTTGCTGTCGTCACGCAGGTCCTCTCGATAGATGTCAAAATCTCCTCGGAACAAGCCATGGCGCAAGATGCAAGGAGGACACAGGCAACTGTGTGACAATCTGAGCATGGGAACAAAATGATGATGGAAAATCATTGCAGAGTTTTGCGAAGGACACCTTCACGTACTTTTGCCAAGGACTCTTGCGTCTGCAGTGTTCACCCCATACTTTCATCGCTTTGAAAATAACCAGTGTTTCATTTAATTTTGAAAAAAAGAAACACTTCCCAAAACAACTGAAAAAATCCAACAACTCTCCATTTCAATCTGAGAAACCACTCGACACAAAGGCATTCAATCGCCGGAAGGCCGTAAGGCCATCGACCACGGCAGAGAAACCCATGGCCACCCCACCCAGCGGTGCACGGACAATGCCCACTGTGGTGAAAATGAAGAAGACCCTCTCAGCAGATAACTCCTTGCCCTGCAAGTGCATCCTCAGAATTCGGGAGATGTGCCGGTTCCAACAATGGATGAAGTAAGTTAACTAGGTACTTATCACTGTTGCATAGTTCGACTCATATTGAAGTGAACTTGGGTGTAGAATGCAGCATGCAATTGCCTGGTTTCCCTAATGCCCTTGTTCCCAGCTTGTTCCCAGCACGACTCTGGTGTAGCCAAGCATCATCAGAAGCACAGCCAGCATGGACAAGGAGGGGGAGATGTAGAGAAGTGCGCTGCTGAAACCTCTGATGCCCAAGTAGATCCAAGCCTGGTGAAGTTCCTTCTGCCGAAACTCCTCACAGCATTGCAGCTAATCCTGGTGCAGCCTGTGTACAACTCATTTCATGTTGAGAAGCACTGGCCTATTTCCAGACATGGACAAAATGGACAAAACGGACAAAATGGGCTACCTCCAAGGTTTTCCACCCGTCCTCCACTCGGCGCTGCAAGGGCTCCGTCCATCCGTACATCTTCAGAACTTTCACTGCCTGTGGCTTAAAAGAAACACCGATGGCTGGGCAAAAAGACCAAGGCTGGGAAGATCTGGAAGGATCTGGGAGGTAATGAGTCGGACTCAAAAGCCGGCAGATCTATATATTGAGTACTCAGCCGGATCTGCAAGTGAACATCCTGTGTGGAAATCTATTCTGGCACTGCAGCACTCAAAGTCATTCCAAATGATCTGTCAACTTCTGCAACTCAGCAAGACTTGAAGGCAAATCATCTGCATCCCGGCATCCATGGCTGGAAAATGTCCAAACCCCAAAATCAAAAACCCATGAGTTGCCAGCAGTTCCAGCAGTTTTGGGTTTCCCCACATCCAGGATCTCAGCCATCAACGAAATGCGGGCATCACTGAACCTCCGCCAAGATCCAGATGGCATGCCATTCGGAAACATCTGTAGACATCCGAGATGAGTGAAAGATAGTGATATTGATATTGTTGATGATAATAATGGTAACAATATTGATAATGATTGATAATGGTAATGAGAATGATAAGGAGAATGGTATTGCTATTGATAAATGACCTTCCCCAAGCAACTGCTATCAGGGTCAGGGCCCCACAAGACCGCAATTACCGGGCGACTGCTGCATCTTTCTTCTCGCAGGCCAAGCGCAACGGCTTAACGCACTTTGTAGCAGAACCTGAAAGATGTTGGAACGTGGTTTCATGGGAAAATATGGGAAAATCACTCGGAGATCTTGGTTTTGATGTGAAATTAACTCCGGGAGTCTGAATCTGTGGGGCGGCGAACTTGGGTGGGATGTCAACCAAGGTGCAGTCGACACAAGGATACCAATCGCCACTACAGCCACTGCATGCCCCTCGTAGATAGTCCTGAGGAGCTTCATCACTTGCGGGAATGTGTTCCTAGGATTAGTATACTCCTATGTATATTCTTTATCTATTGGGTACCAATTTTGATATCGTTTGAGGATCCTCAATAAAAACAGAAACTGATACCAATTGTTACCCGGTGGTTTATCAAGGGATGATACTGGAACAAATAGGATCTATTTCAGGTTGGCTAGAGTGTATTTGGGGATTATGTCTGGTTAATTTTATGTTTTCTGTACGGTTAGTTTGGGCCTGTGTTCTTTTAATTGTTTTACGGTTTAGATTTGGTTGCTTTAGGTTTCCTTTAGGGTTTCTTTTAAGGTTTACTTCGGCTTGTGCTATAGTGTTGATTTGGGGTTGGCTTGGTGTTTGTTTGGTGTCGATTTAAAGTTGTTGTAGTGCTGGTTTGGTGCTTGTTTGATTGTGTTTTAAGGTTTATTTAGTTTTGGTTCAGGCTTTTAGGTGTCATTTTGGGGCTTAGTTGGAGTTGTTTGGATATTTTTTTTGGTGCTTCTTTCAGCGGCAAAAAGTTGTTTTTCCAGTGTCTGAAGTTTTTTGTCCAGTGTGGAGAGTAGGGGTGAACCTTAGTTTTTTTTCCAGTAGTAATTTTCTTTTCTCCAGTGTCTACCCGTTTATCAATCCAACGTTGACGCTGCACTGTTGGGTGGCCACACTTCGAATCTGGGCCAAATCAATCTGCCAAGAGGCAAATAGATATAGGACGTGCTCAGCACCACCAAAGCCTCAGGAAGTGATGCGAAATCTAAGAAGCCTAGGATTTAAACTTCTATTTGTGTATACAATACATAAATATAGTGTAGATTATGTGTATATATATATATATTGTATTAGAGTGTCTACATAACTATATTATATATATATTCATATACTTTTCATATTCAAGTTCAAGTTCAAATTCATATTATGCACATAATATGTATAATATATTATATATACACACTATCTTTATATATAGCCATCACCTCCATGGTAATATTGCCTCTATGCCCAGCCAAGGCACCACATAGATGAGGTGGTTCAGCTGTGCGAAGATGTAAAGCCTCTCGGTGTCCACCTGGGAATAGGTCAAGATTTCAGACCCATGAAAAACCACAGCTTGAAATCTGATGTGGTATTGACCATATATATGTTTTGGGCTACCCACTAAAAATTGACCACATGGATATTAACATATATTAACTCCATCGCCAAGTGGATTTTTTTCGGATCTGAACTGAAAAAACCTGTGGTGAGTCGGTGAGTCGACTGCAGCCTTCCTGGTGACCATGGTGCTCCCTCCATCTCCATCTCCAACCTGCAACAAATTCAGGGCCGCATCTCTCCGGGAATCCTGGATCTGCAGTTGCAGCGTCCGGCGGAAGACCTCCGATCGCAAAAAAAAGGGGGATTTTCGGGGACCTCGGAAGGAAACAATTTGGTCGTTATGGAATCATTGAAAAGATATGAAAAGATAGCACATTCGCAAAGATTCCGATGTCTCAGTCTCGTCGATCCATACCAAGTTGTAGAAACAAACAGAAACGTGAACCAAGCAACTATCATGGCTGCCGACGAGCGCAACTCACAACCGAGGTGGGTCGTCTGCTGATACCACTGGCAAGCAGAATTGCAGTTCACCAGGTAACCTTGGAAGACTTGATGGGTGGTGAAAATCCAGTGGCGTTCACAATCCCAAAACAGGATATTTACCACCCCTAAGCCAGGAAGTCTTGATTCATTAATTTCTTGGTACAATGGGACGGGCGGCACCACTTGGAGCCATATGCAGCATTCTCTATCGCCTATCAACGCTTTTCATTCATGAGACTGATGTTCTCATAACTAGTTGGTGGTTTCAACCCTGCTAAGAAACATGTTCATAAGTGAAGATTGGAGCTCATCGGCCCAAAAAGGCAAAAGGAAGATCGCATAGCAACATCAAATCGTCTACCGAGCAACTTGCCACCAACAGAGATGTCCACATGAGGCCTTTTGGTTTGTCTTCCCAAGAAACGCTATCTGGCAGCAGCGGATGCATCTGCAGGTTCTAGAACAAGTTTGGGTATCTTCATTTGTGCTTTATCAGTTTCATCTCTAATCTCAAAAACCTGCGAATCTTGTCACACATGGTTCTTTCATCGCTTGAAACATGGTTTGCTCAGGTTGGTGAGACTTCTCTTCAATTTCAAATTTCAGACTCTGCTGATCAGTTGGAACCAGCCTGCCATGATTGAGAAATCTTGAAGTAAATTCAAAGCACTGTTCGCACCATCTGACATGTATTGCGTGGTCATACCATCACATCAACAGAACCCCCCACCAAGTGGCACGATGAATAGAACATTTGTAACATAATAGAAGATCCAAAAGCAGAATTTACACTGGAACACCCAATCCTCTGAAATTGACCGGAACATCCCATCTCCTGCCTTCAGTTTCCACGACCCACTGGAAGAGTCGGTCTGTAAGGTAAGGTAGCATCGACAGACTGAAGAACCAGAAGGTGAAGGTAAAGAGGATGTAGATGTATCCTTCACTGTTTTGCTGTTGGTTTTGTACAAATTCCGCCTTCAACCTGAAACCGTTACAATTTGACCACTGGCTAATTCGTAGACTTGTGGTACGCATCAAATCCCAAGTGTGTCTGTGCTCGTCTGCAACTGTAGACTGGATTTTGGGGCTCAAAATAGAACATGTCTCTGGTTTCCCGCAGCAAAAACAAGTGGACTCGAAAACCACGCTGGGTGTATGGAACTCTGCAGGGCAAGTCTAGGGTGCAGGTGCACCTACCCTTGCTTCTCCACATGGAACCCCGCTTTCTAATTCTTTTTTTGGGGATCTAAATGTGCATGATTCTTGTCAATCCATACTGGAACTTTGGGCTGTAGAGCTAATTTTGTGATGAATACAGACATGAGAGCCAACGTGAAACACCATACACACAAATCCGAGGGCCTAAAATAAGTCCCAGAACATTGTAGTCTTAAGCCACTTCATGGGCAGAATTTGATTGAATCCTGCCGGGACTCCGGATCTTTTCCAAGGAAGTTTAGATGAGAAACTTCCAAGTCGCAGACAAATGGCTATGGACAACCTTCACTCACCAACTCAACCACTCTGCAACTTTTGCTCACAAAAAGTCTGTCACAATAGTTCTACCCCAAGAATTAGGCCAATTTGGATAGGTATTTCATGATTTTCTCATATTTTCTCAACCATTGGAGTGGAGTATCCAGTATCATCCCGTATCCCTCGATAACAACCCCATGTGTTCGCCAGGGCTCTCCATCCATAGGTCCGGAGCAGCAGCCGAAAGATGCTGCTGCTTCCAGGCAGGTGCTGATGCCAGCAGGAATCCAGGACGTCAGCACGCAGAGGCTGGGGGATCCTGGGGAAAAAATCGCCAAAATAAGCCACAGAACTGCAAAGAAAATGGGAGAACATTTTAAAGCAGACCATTTGCAGGCAAAGATGACCTTCTTGTAACACCTGAGATAATAGAAACATGAGCTAGAGGTAGAGATCGGTGGGTGGGTGGCAAACAAAATACAGTAAGACCCACCTCACACACAGCAAACCCCTTTACGCAGAGGATGCTTGTGAGAGTGCATACATGGCCGGCAGGGGCCTTGGCCATTGAAATACAAAAGGGTGGCACATGGGAGAAGCAGACTATGGAACATTTGGTTTGGGTTCACACAGCTTTCAGAGAATACTTCATGCACCCTTTCGCCTGCCAAACCCCTCCATATCGGACAATTTCTCAGTCATTGTCACAAAAGGCACCCAAAAAAAATGATAAAGTGCCAAGACGGTCTATTTGCATATGGGTATGGGTCAATACCTATTAATACCATTTTTAGTGAGATGAACATCCATTTACCAGCTATTTTGGGGTTCAATAGGTACCAGGGTTTTGACCCATCCCCATATCTCTGCACTGACCTGGCCAGACTGAGACACTCATGGATATCTTCTTCTCTCAGAGGTCGCTGTGCACCTTTTCTCAGCAGTGGCCACAACCATAGCAGCCAAAAGCCTCGGGATTTCAACGGCAAAAATGCGTGCCTTGCAGGGCCCTAAAACCAAATGCCAACATTGAAAACGGAAGAACATGTACCCGTTAAGGAAACACAGTGTATTGTCTGCTCTGCTTGGGATAATAATCATTAACACAGTTGTAGTTATGGGATGATAATCATCAAATAATATGTGTATGTTTATATATATACATACGTATGTCAATATATCATCCCAGTGAGTGATGTTGTCTGGTGAAAATATATATATATGTATATCATATATATATATATCATATATATATACACACGCATCATCCCAGTACTGGTTCATGACTGTGGTTAACTGCTCTGCTCTGACGCTGGAGGCAGGCGACGGCTGGGACATGACGCGGCGTCGGCTGGATGGGTCGGCATGGAACCAGGTGGACACCGCGCTCCCGGTCAAAGTGATCCAGATTTGAAAATGTGGGATATGAAATCTGCCAGTCTGTCAGCATTTGATACCTAGAGCCTAGAGCCCAGCATGATGTGTCATTTCTCACGTCACAGCGGTTTGCTGAAGCTACTTGCCATGTTACTTCCTGAGGGGAGTTCCCCGGTAGAAGAAGAGAGCCAGCTTCACATCTGGCACTGATGACAGAACCGGATATGGCTCATGAACTCAAATAGCATACTACTATCCTTCTGGCAGTGCTGGGCCACCCTGATGGTTGCCATGGCTAACTGATTCTGTTCTGAAGATCTCATATTCATTTAAGCCAAACAGCTACCGGGCGGATCTTTCCGCTTGGTGAGTCAATCTGTTCCGTGGGTCATAGGATGTCCTCGACCAAAGCCAAAACATCAGGCTATGTCCTCAAGGGTGTGTCTGAAAGGGTCGGCATGCCCTCAAGAATAGCTATTTGTCGTAGAATATGATGATTAAATATGATTAATCTGTTTAACTATTAACTACTTTGGGTATGGACCATGGACAAACGCTAGAAAAGGCCCATGGTCAAAAGCCTGCGACGTCGCAAGAAAGCCGTTTTCGCATCACTTCGCGTCATTCAGCCACGGCCACCACTGCTGGCCGCACCACACCTTGGACATACCCTGGTGGATTCAGTGATGAACCCCCAAATCAGAAGAATCTGCTACTGTTATCAGTGTAACCTGGAAACAGTTCGTGCCCTGGGTGATGAATTGATGATTGACAAACTGCCCAGTTTTCACTGTCGAACTGTTGGACTCGTTTCCCAACTTTGGGAGGTCCAGAGCTTAGCATGAAAAATCGTAGCAGAAAAGGAGGTTGAGCCGTGCACAGAGTCACAAAGTCCCGTGGAAATCCTGTCATTCACCAAGAAATGCCCATGTAAAAATCTAGAAAAACCTAAAAAAAGGAGTAGCCACTAGAAAACCATCTAGATTTTCTTTAAGGGACATCATGGGACATCTGTTTTCGTGGTTCTCCATGTCCAAATGCATGCCAAAGGTCGGTCTGCCAGCATCCATCCAGACCTAGCTGTGCCCAAACCATCTGAAAAACCGAATTGGTTTATGGAGTTGTTGAACGGGAAATCCTGGCTATTAAACTTATTAAAGCCATTTTTTCGGGATGACTTCTGTGAACTCGTTGAAAATGGGTTTGGATCCCACTTGGATGCCTTGCTGAAATAAATCCAAGCCCCATTCACCAATGGCTTTTCCATTCGCTCATAGAGGGATTGATAATTGATAACCCAAAAGGTGTGTCTTGGCGATTTGGAAAGCCAAGATCTCCCATGTCGTCAAAGCAAGCCTAAAACCTAGCTAGTCACAAATTCCCGACCCAAACAAGCAACCATCATTTGCATTCATTTGCTAGTTGGCCATCTTCAGCGGGACTCTCTCTATATTTGTTGCTTTCCATCAACACACCCCCATCCTTGATAGGCTTTGTCTTCATCACGCGTCACTTCTAATTTCTAGCTCATATATTATATACATGGGTATGCACAAGAATCAAAGTGCACCCGTACACCCCAAAGTTGCAAAATGTTCACAATTGAAAGTGGAGTGATAATTCTCCAAAATGGATCAAAATGGGAAATCCCTTGGAAAGATCCCACATCTTCCGAAGCCCACAACCACTGGGCGACCCCACCTTAACTCCTCCAGGACTTCATCAGTGGTAGCACCTGGCCGCCTCAACGCCGCCTCATGGAGACTCGGATCAAAGGTCTTCCCCAGGGCCTCGGTGAAACGCTCGGGCCACATGCCACATGACTGGACCAATGGGAAAATCCTGAGATCGGCCTCATGCAAAGTGTTTGGTTCAATCACCCTTGGCATTTTTGGGGGGTCGACCATTTGTGGGTCGACCAATTTGTCTACCATTTATTGCCTATGGCCCAACTCAATCTTGGGATGCAGGACCCAGGGAATCCAGGCCTCAATTCTTTGGAAGCCCAACGATTCCAGCCTGCCAAAGCCGGGGGCCGAAGATCACATGTGTTTCAAGTGGGGATGGAGTCATGAGTCATGGACCTCTGCCTTCGGTTCCGTAGAATCCAGAAACAAATATATTGCCACGTGCTGAGGGGAACGAACAGATACAAAACTGTCAACACGGCGCAAACGGCACAAGAGAAATAATTCTCGCAACATGTTCAATGCCCAAAAATTCTGGTTTTGAAGGCTGGCTGGCCCAACGTGTTTTCTCAACCGCTCATGGTCCTGCCTTGATTCAAACTTCTTGGCCAGAGTTGCCAGCGTTTCGCCAGAGCTACCGGTGCCTGGCGCGTCCAAACGCGCGCCACGTTCCAAATCATCCAGGACGTCCAAAAGCTCCGAGACGACAGCTATTTTGGTGTCTGCTGCCAGATTCCGGTTCACCTCCTGCAATCCTCAGGTAATGTCCAAAAAAGCTCCGACAGCATTCAGGACCCAAAGAAGGGACGGCTCCAAACCAAGCACATTTTCATGCCCTGGCACTGTGTCTCAACAAGTCTCCACCAGCGTTTAAACATTACCCAACCCACACACATAGGACATAGTACTTTCATAACGCATGCGGCCAATAGATTCAATAGATAAATCTACTCAGAGATGAATCCGATGAACTACATTAATCAGTTTGCGTTCATTGCGATGGCAACCCGAGGGATGAACCAGACAACCAGAGGTGTTCAAAATCCCCTTGAAATTGGAATATTACTCTATGAATATGATATTACCAACCCCACCAGAAATAGCACCGTCGACAGCCCAAAAGTCGGTAGTACTTGGTGAAGAGTTCCCCCATGGTGTCTTGGTCTTCGGCGCGCAAGCGCAGCCGCATCCGGCCACGGATAGAAAGCATCGGATCCGGGCGCGCACAGAGCCAGGTCATGGGGAAGGTCGCCAGCAACAAAATGCTGACACCTGGCGGCTTCCAGTTGGATGTCACTCTCTAGATGGCACCAATTTGATCAAATGTTTTGTTGTGCTAATGTTACTTCTTCATTTGGCATGGCATCCAAAGCTTCCATGCTTCCAAGATGTCTCGCATGCAGATCTTACAAATAATGTGGCAGGAGCTTCAACTCGCTCCAATTCATCAAACCAAAAATCCCACTGCAAACCCCCAAAGTCAGCACAGTCTGCTGATGTACCTCCGTGGCGCACCAAATTTGTCGGCATGGCACCAGCTTCCACAGGAATGAAAAAAAATGTCCTTCGGATCATCATTGGAAACTACCAACCCGGTCGGTAGGGCAGCATTGTTTGATTAGTGTGGAATCAAGTTGAGGTATGTTGGAGTGGTTTTTTATTCTCATCCTCCATGAGTTCAGCCGTGGTGTCTGCGGATCCTCTTTGTTGATCAAAGGACAAGGTAGAAAAATACATATTTCTTATTTATCCATATTTATCCTTACTTGTTCATTTTATATATATATATATGTCTTGCAATTCTCCAACCTGAAAGCCCAACCAAAACAAAACGGCTTGAGCCACAGCTATAAGCAATACAAAAAAGGCAAGGCTGCGGTAGTGGATAGCGGCATAGCGGTGAGGGTCGCAATTAGGGCTGACATGGGCTGACTATCAAAAGAATAGAGACATATTGAGACCATTGACCCCGCAACTGAAAATGTCCATTCTGTCTTCCAGGCACTTGAGTGAAGTGTCATCATTGAATCTGTCACCAGAAATGCTACCTCAGGGCGAATTCATAAGGTCTTATTCATTGGAATCATGCTAAGCGGCTTGCAGTGCTTCGCAGTCACTCATTTTGACGGCCGCATCTGTACATCATGGGTCTGTCTCGGCCAGCGCGCATGGGGACGTCTTCTACCTTTGAAATTCCAGCAGACCCTGACCAAGAACGGTCCTGCCAGGGTCTGGGCTGAAAGACACTCACGAGGAAGCAGCCAAAAACACTCTATAATCAGGATCTTGATTCTAGATGATTCTAGATGGTACTAATGTATATATATATATATACCGATTTATACCCCGTCAGTAGAAATCTTCTCTAAACGAATGCCCACAGATATTAGCTTCCCGTACTTGGGCTGATACTCCGTGGCGAGTGCCATTGGACCGGGTGCGTCCCCTTGACGCGCATAGGGTGACCCCAAGGGCGAATCGAGTGGTACCGATTCTGGTCACAGCTCTAGTCCGCAAACGCAGAAATATGGACGTCCTTGGCTGGACAAGTGCTCGACCCTTGACTTTGCAAAGCCTCATAGATTGCCATCTAGGTGTTTGTGGCGCAAAGAGAGGGTGCTACGACACAAGTACGGTACTGCGAAAAAGAGCTGAAAGAAATGAAGCTAATTCAACACTTCCACATGATTTGCGTAATGCAACACCATTTCCCTGCGTCTATTCAGTCTCTTCTCATTTATTCTACCAGTTGGTGGTACTACCATCCTGATTTTTTCATGAAGAAGATGAGAATTTCCGGATTTCCCGTGCAGCCAAGCATCTGTTCTCTGTTCTCAAAGTGCTGCTACCTGGAGCAGCCTCAGAGACCCTATTGGTTTCTGTACCCTTTCAACATGTTTTGTTGCGCAGCCAAGAAATCATCTTAGGAAGTCATTGATTGATCCATCGTGGCTTTAGAACTGCCAGGCTCCCAGACTGAGCTCAATATGGAGGTGGGCGTGCAAAATAAGTCTGGCGAACCCAAGAGATCCAGCATGTCACAGCTCTTGGCTTTGAAATTCCCCGGTGTTCAACATTGGAATATCAAATAGAACAACAGATCTTGCCCCGTGTTTGTACTACACCATTTTTTGTCAACAATCTTGAGCCATAACCCGTTGAAACATCGGTGGCGAAGTCAACAGAAACAGTCCATCCCAGTGGACCCAGTGGACCAACTCACCATATTTTGGAGCCTTTGCACCCCACTGAGACCAGCTGGTCTCAGTAAATCATATGGACTGGTCCTTGGTAGACCCGCAAAGTCCAAAGTTCTTCATGAGAAGATCACTAGCAATCTCAGGAAACAGAATGGGTCTTCCCCCATTGGTAGTTCTCAAGCAACAACTCCTCACAGCTCTTCATTCACAGCCATTCTGAGGCTCAGGCTTCAATGGACAGGCAAAGCTTTCAAGAGCCCCTGCCACTTACAAGGTAAAGTAGACCCAGTTTGCATATGCTACATGATTAACCCCTGATGTGAAGGACTTGGCTAGTCATCAACTGGTCAAACTTGCGAAACCCGAACTCTTATAAATCTTTAAGGCATTGGTTGTATTTGATCATATACCTTGCAAAAATGGTAGCCGCAATTAATCATCCTTGATTAATTTGCTACATTATGATCAACATTAACTGGAATATTTCGTTAAAAATCGTTAAATTATGTTTAAAATAACATCCCCACTCGCCATCCCAGTGCACCTCCAACTCCTTATGCCCATGCCTGCCACAAGCAACAGCGATGCTGAGATCAATTCCCCTTAAAACAATGCACACGGAATCCCGGAATGTGTGAGACTTCTGATGCTGTTTGGGCGTGCATTCCTCCAACAGCATCCAACAGCATTCTGAACTTTCAGAACTCAGCCCTCCAACCCTGCAGAGGCCTTCTTGGCCACCCTGCTCCTCAGCTGCGTCATTCCCTTCTAGCAGGGATTCCCATCAAGAGAGATAGATACGGTAGAGTAGATAGATGGATAGATAGATAGCTAGATAGCTAGATAGCTAGCTAGACAGACAGACGGACAGACAGACAGAACAAATAGATAGCAGTGTTGCTGTACTGTAAATGCAGCAACCACCGATTTGGGGGTCATAGCTCACATCATCCAAAACACGGGTATACCGTATACCAAGAAATACCAAATAATACACCCCAATAGACGAAACATCATTAGCAAACATTAGATCAGTACAGCCCCTTTCACCGCATCTAGGTCCACAGATTTCCAGCAAAATCCAGGGAAACCTGTGTTCTTGGCATAGGTCATCAAAATTCAAGACAATCGAACCCAAGGTTTAGTTCTGGTCCATTTTGAATATCATCTTATGTATGTATGTATGTATGTATGTATGTATGTATGTATGTATGCATGCATGCATGGATGGATGGATGGATGGATGGATGGATGCATGGATGGATGCATGGATGCATGGATGCATGGATGCATGGATGCATGGATGCATGGATGCATGGATGCATGGATGCATGGATGCATGGATGCATGGATGCATGTATGCATGTATGCATGTATGCATGTATGCATGTATGCATGTATGCATGTATGCATGTATGCATGTATGCATGTATGCATGCATGCATGCATGCATGGATGCATGGATGCATGGATGCATGGATGCATGGATGCATGGATGCATGGATGCATGGATGCATGGATGCATGGATGCATGGATGCATGGATGCATGGATGCATGCATGCATGATGCATGGATGCATGGATGCATGGATGCATGGATGCATGCATCTATGCATCTATGCATCTATGCATCTATGCATCTATGCATCTATTCATCTATGCATCTATGCATCTATTCATCTATGCATCTATGCATCTATGCATCTATGCATCTATGCATCTATGCATCCATGCATCCATGCATCCATGCATCTATGCATCTATGCATCTATGCATCTATGCATCTATGCATCTATGCATGCATGCATGCATGCATGTAGGGTAGGGTAGGGTAGGGTAGGGTAGGGTATGGTTTGGTGTAATGTAATGTAATGTAATATAATATAATGTAATGCAATATAATGTATGAATGAATGAATGTATGAATGTATGTATGTATCAGGTATGACATACATATATCTCTATATATATGTATATATCGTATATCATGCATTCTCATCGCATCCACATTTTGAGATTCCCAACTTTTCCCCTCACCATTCGTTGCTTCACCAAGGCACGTCCAAGCACCTGGTGCAGCACCAAAGGCACCGTACTGCCTTAGGGCATGGACTCTCAGTTTCTCCATATGGGCCAATGGGTACACCCCACATTTCAAGCCAATGATTATTCAATGGATTGAAGCCAAAAAAAATTAAGTGTTCCCATCATTCTGGGAAATGAAAAATCATCCACAGCCACAGCCATCCCTATTTCACCAGTGCTGCTGGCACCCTCACTGAGATTTCCAGACTCCAGGATCTTGAACCCTTGAGGAATGTCATCGTCTTGGACGAAGACCTGGCTCTCGGCTGCTCCATGGCTCCATGGCATGGGAAATCTCAATCAATATATGTATAAACATATAATATATATATATGGTACCCCTCCCCTGAGATCTACCTCAGAGCATTTTGATATATTGTCTCTACATGTACATATATATATAATATATTTATGTGCATATATGTATAAGAGTCAGTTATTTTTTACAGATCTCTTGTGGGTAGTAGCTGTGCACACTATCAAAACAAGTTGGAAACAAAAAAAAACAATATTTGACGACTCTTTTGGAGAGAATCCATGGGGAAAACCCAAAAAAACAAAAAACCTCGAGAAAACCAACAAAAAACAATATTTGGAGACTCTTTGGGAAAGCTCTATTGACAAAATCAAAAAAACCTCGAGAAAACCAAAAAACCAAAAAACCAAAAAAAACAAAACTTTTCAGAGAATGTTTGGTCTGAGGCTCATGTTTGGTTTTTTTTGGTTTTGCCTAGGTTTTTTTTGGTTTTGACCTTGAAAAAACTAAAAAAACTCAAGGTTTTTTTGGTTCTTTGGATAAAATGATGGTTAAAGAATTGTGAAAAACCAAAAAAACTCAAGTTTTTTTGGCTTTTGGGTGTTTCTGGCTTTAGTTTCTTTTTTGCTGCGCAATGAAAAACCAAAAAAAACCTTGAGTTTTTTTTGTTTTTCACACTTCTTTAACCATCATTTTATCCAAAAAAACAAAAAACCTTGAGTTTTTTTAGTTTTTTCAAGGTCAAGACCAAAAAAAAACTAGGCAAAACCAAAAAAAAACAAACATGAGCCTCAGACCAAACATTCTCTGAAAAGTTTTGGTTTTTCTCGAGGTTTTGGTTATTCTGTATTTCCTAAGATTCAACCCAAATCAAGAAAACTCTAAGTATAAAGTAAGACAGCTGAGGAGCTAGCTATGAAATATCCAGAGAGCAAATAGAGGGTATAATAGGGTCTATGTGATTGTTCCCTTTCTGGCTTTCATTCAATGGAAAATAGTTAGCTTCAGTAAACTAATTACATGAATGAAATAGATTTTCCATTTAATTCATTTAATTAAACGAATTTAATGAATTTAATGAATTAAATAGATTTTCCATTTAATTCATTTAATTAGTTTAATGAATTAAATGAATTAACATTCAATTAATTAAAAGAATTTAATGAATTTAATGAATTAAATAGATTTTCCATTTAATTCATGTAAATAGTTTAATGAATTAAATGAATTAAATTGATTTTCCATTTAATTCATATAATTCATTTAATTCCTGGTGTCACCAGATTCCAGAAACAGTTTTCCATTTAATTTATTTGATTAATTTGATTCATTAAACTAATTAAATGAATCAAAATAAGTTTAATGAATTAAATAGATTTTCCATTTAATTCATTTAATTCATGAAATTAATCACATGAATTATTTGAATTAAATGAATTAAAAATATTTCCATTTGATTCATTTTAATTCATTCAATTCCTGGGGTCCCCAGATTCCAGAAACAGTTTTCCATTTAATTTATTTAATTCATTTAATTCATTCAACTAATTAAATGAATTAAATGAATTTAATGAATTAAATATATTTTCCATTCAATTCATTTAATTCATTTTATTCCTGGGGTCCCCAGATTCCAGAAACAGTTTTCCATTGAATTTTTTTAACATTCAATTCATAAACCTAATTCAATGAATCAAATGAATTAAATGAATTAAATAGATGTTCCATTTAATTCATTTAATTCATAAAATTAATTTAATGAATTTAATGAATTAAATAGATTTTCCATTTAATTCATTTAATTCATTTAATTAGTTTAATGAATTAAATGAATTAAATGAATTAAATAGATTTTCCATTCAATTCATTTAATTCATTTAATTCCTAGGGCCCTCAGATTCCAGCAACAGTTTTCCATTTATTTTATTTAATTAATTTAATTCATTTAATTCATTAAACTAATTAAATGAATTAAATGAATTAAATTAATTAAATGAATTAAATGAATTAAATAGATTTTCCATTTAATTCATTTAACTAATTAAAGTAATTCAATGAATTAAATGAATTGAATGAATTAAATAGGTTTTCTATTTAATTCATTTAATTCATTAAATTAATTAAATGAATTAAATGAATTTAATGAATTAAATAGGTTTTCTATTTAATTCATTTAATTCATGAAACTAGTTAAATGAATTTAATGAATTAAATAGAATTTCCATTTAAATTCATTGAGTTTGACCATGTACGTCTCCAGAAGAGCATCAAAAGTAGATCTTAGGGGGGGGCTAGCATATATATATTTATATTTATATCTATATATATATAAATATCACATCCCCGATATCCCCCACTTTTGATTGAGGTTAGAGCTAGTTCAAAGTAGTTACAACTACCTATTACTTTCAACACCTTCTACTTATCCAATTGATTGACCCTTCCGGGAATCCTCCAGCGCCCAACAGCGTTTTTCAGCACCCCGCCAGCGTTGAATCTTCACGCCTCCTTACGGTCATCACCATAGACATAGTCCTCCTGACGGATCATGGAACTTTCCAATGAATTCCAAGCTGGAAATAAAATACCCAATTGGAAAAAGAATTCCATCAGGAAACCGGAAACCGTTCCAATTTATGGAAATGTCGCATTGGGCTTTGCGATTCATCAGGTAAACTGCCATTTTGCTTACTGAAAACCATTTCAAAACCTGTTTTAAGTCTCAGCTTCGCCCAGCTGGTCCTCTGTGGACTCAGTGTCAAGGTCGGTGCACTCAACCGTCTGCAGATGGGACATGGCCATGGGTCCGGGGTCCTTTTGGAACACACAGGGCATTTTATTGAAGTTGCCCTCTATAAATGCAGGTTTTAAGATTTTTAAGTGGTTTTAATAGTAAAAATATGGCAAAATCATCTATAAAAGGGGGATCGATCACACCTTTTCTGGACTTTTCAGGATCAAACCGTCCATTGTTGGGCCAATAGTTCTGGTCTCTGATGCTTCGATAGACTCCGCAGCTTGGAAGCCTTGTTCAGGGGATAGGTCACACGTTGAAGGAGGAACGAACAGGCAGACCTGGGCCCAGTGGTTTCTGCGAGGATGAGCAGTCAGTAGCTGCTAGCTCCAGGCTCCCCAGTACTCCCTCAGGTCACCCAAAAGAAAAAGTACGTTTGGCCAAACACTGGTAGGGCTCCGAACAAGTTGGGGAAACATACTCTGCTTTTGTGCTTTCCATGTTCTTTCCATGTGTTTTCCATGTCACCTAATTTGGCAGCACAACGCCAGTTTCATCCTTCACCATCAACAAGTTGAAAGCCATCGAAGTTACCAAGGGGCGTTTGCAGGGACCAGCCGGCAAAGACGCAAGCAACCACGAGGGCCACCTGCCACAACGGGTAACAGAGCCACATCCGGCTCTTGGAGCTGTAGAGCTGTGGAGCTGGGCCCGGACAGGCCTGCATCAAGTCTTGCATAGCAATCAACATCCTCAGATGTGCAGTGTGGATGACACCTTTTTGAATCCTGGGAAGCTGGATTTGATGCAACCTATGGCTCTGGGAATTGGATCTCTTCGCGAATCAAGGATTGGTCTTATCGAAAATCAGCTCAACTGATCATGTATCTGGGCTTGGAACAATCGATTCCCAAAAAAGATAAGGACACTCAGCAACCACTGGGCCGAGGGAACATTGATTGCACAGTAGTAAACCATGGATCAAGGCTTTTCAATCTTCCAAAACCTTTGGTCGCCTCAGACTGTCTGAGTCTTTCGTATCAAGTGCATTCAGGTGTATATACAATAGATGCATTCACCCTATACCCTGCTTGTTCAGATAGGGGAAAAACTCTCTGTACTGGAACATTAAGATGTACAATGGAGCGAACCTAATTTTGAAGATACAAGCTGATTGCCAGATTCTTTTGTCTCAAAATAGTTGAAAATAGAGTGTCTTCAATCAGGAATGATATGAAGTATATCTTCATGCCATGCCACCATGCATTGTTCAACGTGGTTTCCCCCATTCCAACATCCTTTTGCAAAGTGTCATTGGGCTTGTCATGTGAAGGAAATTCGGAGAGCTTCTCAAAGAGTACCTGGGTGAAGCGAACTGTGTTGGTCCAGCTCTGAATTTGTTTGACTGATTACAATGGTTCTCAGATAATCACAGATATAAGTCCCTTAAACACACAGCTGCGGCTCCAAACCTACGGAATTTCATGGCATCAACCCCGCCTGAAGGAGAATGAAGCTGCTAACAGTCTTTAGGCTCGACCTCAGGGTGACGGCATCATCTCCGCTGGCTGAAAGGAAATATACAAATGCACCAAGTGCGACAGGTCATGGGAAACAAAATATGGGAAAGTTGTGGACCTCCACAGGGCTAATTTCAATTTCCTGGTCCAGGTGGAGCTACCTTTAAAAAAAAGTGGTAAAATGCCCCCATTTCAAACTTGAAACTAATAGATTTACCTGAGAAGAGGGGACGAAAGCCAGGGTCAAGTTTGAACGGGGACAGGAGAGTGGAGAGCATGGGAGGGAGTGCGGCGGGGGGTTGGTGGGGGCATCGGGGGAGGGGCGGAGGGGCCGGCGGGGTGAGGCTGTGTTGGGTGTGGGTGCGGGGAGCCCTTGGAGAGAAGGAAGGAATGTGTAGGAAGAAGGAGCGGAGGGAAGAAGTGTGGGAAAGGTCGGGAAGGATGAAGAGAGCGTCGTTTCAAGAGCGGCCGGGGCGCAAAGGAGCCCGGAAGGGGAGAGGACGCGTCGGCGGCAGGGAAGGCAAGGAAGAAGGGGAAGCGGACGCCTGTGGAGAAAGAAGCTCCGTGGTGTGTTTGAGAAATGAAGGGAAGGCGGGCGGGTGCTCCGTACTCGACACTTTAGAGTGTAGACTGGACAATATACACTTCAGAGTCCACAGTCGACACTTGACAGACTAGACTGTACTACACTTTAGAGCCCTCACGCCTCACTGCACATTTGACACGCTGTACTCCACACTTTACACTGCACACTCTACATTTGACACGCTACACTGGACACTCTACACTCTACACTCCAGACTCTACACTTGCCACTGTACACCCTTCACTTCACATTTCGCCCTCTACACGTTACACTCTACATTGTACACTTGACGCACTTTACACCTGACACGCCACACACTGTACACTTGACACACTGCACTTTACACTCTACACTTTACACTCCACACTCGACGCTCGACACTGTACACACTAGACTTTACACTCGACACTCTGCACTCTACACTCCATACCGTACACGTTGCACTTTACATTTTATATTCCTGTCCTACCGCCGGGCATCAGCACCCATCGACAACTTGCCCCCCCCTTCCCAGCGGGCCCCCTTGCTTCGGAGCAGCTACTTAAAAGAGTATCACTCCAAATGGCATCCCCAAGCCACGCCCTTTCTTCCTTCCAATCGAACCATATGTACCGCCAGTACTGTTTGCTGCTTGTACCAAGCATACCATGTCTATCCATGTCTCATGTCCTGCGCATGGCAACAAGCTCCCTATATGTTCGCTGAAGTTTCGTGATGATATCTGTGGACAATTTCTATCGTGAGATCATTGCGAGACATTGCGCTTGGGTGAGACTTCAAAGGCTAAAGTTGTATCGACAGCTTGCACCCTAGGTGCAGAGCTCTTGGTATTGCCTCTTGGCACCGTCGGGCTGAAATGGGGTAAAGGTTTTAACTCGCTATCTCTAAAAGGAATTTAATCTATGTACCTTTGCCGTGCCACATTTTTTGGACTTCTTGAGTTGTCAACAAATATGGAATCATCGAGTCTGTTTCGAAAAACCAAGGATCTGAATGGTCTTCACAAAGCCGAAGGGTACAATTTGTGTGTGGTATTACAATGGTATACGGCGCTGCGTCTGAAAAAGTGAAAAATGTCCACCGAGCCATCGTCGTGAAGCCAAAAAAGTCCATCACAGTCTAAAACGGTAAATCATGCCGTAAACTCAAAACAGTTGATTGCAATGGCGTTGAGGTTTCACTTGACGACTTGAAAGACTTGCATAACAATTCGCACTTCACTCCCTGTACCCATTCGCTTTCTCTCCTCCAATGGTTCCCTTTTTCCCCACATCTTCTGCTCTGACTTCATTCCGACAAGTACCTTCACCTTGCCTGGCTTCCACACTTTACACTCCACGCTCCACACTTTACACTCTACACTGTACACTTTACAACCCAGCCTCCACACTCCACACTCCACACTTTACACACTAGACTTTACACTCTACGCTTTACACTCCAAACCGCAAACTCTACACTTTACACACTCCACTTGACACTTTACCCTCTTCCCTCTACACACCATACTTTATAATCTTATACCTTACACGTTACACTCCACACTCCATACTTTACACCCCACACTCTACACTTTGCACTCTACACTTTACACTCTACACTCTACGCTTTACACACTACACTCTACACTCTACTTAGGTGGGGAAAAGCGTCAAATGCGTCTGTTTGGAGACGACCGCCCCCCAGACCCCCTATTCTCACTTCGTTCGCAATGACCAACTTCGCCATGCTTGACAGCTGGCTTTCGTAAAAATTGACATGTCATTCTAGGAGCGCCAAAAAATTCTTCAGCAGCCAGTTCCCGAAAACATAACATCATCGTCATCTGACTAGTTGTGACACAACAGAAGGACTTTCAGATTGTCACTGGTAAAACCTATGAGACTAGTAAGACTCAACAAATTCTGGCATTGGAAGTATCAGTATTCATATACCTTGGATGATGAATCAGCGCTGCAAAGTCTTAATCTGCCCGAGTACCGTTCGTACTTTTATAGTTTGTTTCAAGTGTAGAAAATGTGAAGAGCACAAGTTCATGCAACAATGTTTCTCCGCATGAATCTCTGCTTTGCTTGGACACAAGCTGAAGGGGGCCTTCCCATATAAGCATAGACCTATCCAGAAGCCAAACTCAAACACCTCCAAACCACAGAGAACCCTGCGGGGAGCCAAGGAGTGCTAGCACAGAATAGGAGTACGTAAATTGGGCTCAACGGAGAACAGAGCCTCAAAATGGCTGCAGCAAGACCACGACATGTGCTGCAACACCATGGGAAGTGGATAGAAGAAATCATTGCAGTCTCACAGCATTGCTTTCTGATCTTTGAATGTTGGCAGTAGATGCATTGCTGTTTTTCAAAACTAGGCACACAAGAAAACTCAGGAACCTTGTAGCAAAATCACTGTTTTTTTCCAGAAAATCCAAGGGGGTTCCAACCCAAAATTTTAGGACATACGCAGCTGTTGCCATTTCCGCATTTTTTCACTCGCTGTCGCTGAAAAAGAGATCGCCGACTCCCACGCCACTAGGGCGCCGCGGGCCCTTTGGTGCTGGCTCCTAGCACAATTGTTGGGGTAATGGGATCAATTCATGTGGGTAAAACAATAATAAACCATCCCCAATTTCACCACAAATAGCTGGTACAAACCATTCCCAAATGGATGGTTTATCATTGTTTTACCTACATTAATGGGATAATCCATGATAATCCTCCAATTTAAATACTGATCATCAATATCATCAATGATAATCATGATGTTTCTCGATGAAAGTGTCGCACCTCTTTATTGGGGTGTACATCCATAATCTTCCCGAAGTATATCAATGTTCACACTGTCAATAGTCTCACTGGAAAACACATGGTATCAAGATGAAGTAAGCCATGTTTAGGTGTTTTGTGAGGTGTGGAACATCCGTAGTTGTTAAATCACTGAATATGAGGATCAAACATAACTGCTGGATTAGGTGACAGCAATTTGGATGCAGATTCAACCAGAGCTGGTTGTCTGGACAACTGCTAATCGCAAATTGCAGGATGGAAACATCCTGGATTGGTATGACCTGATTTCGGGGAGCTAGTGAACTCCTGCCCACTCTGAAAAGTTTGAAACGACTCCCAACATATGTCATGTGTTGACCACCAGACTTTTTGCTGTCTTCAAGCCAGCTGCCCAGAAACGTCACCCGGGGAACCATGCACAATCGGAATTCTCGCTAGGACTTAACTAAGAATCCCTTCCCCAAAATATGAAATAACATGAAATACACCCCAATCAAAACCCTAGTGGAATTCATTGGATCTATGCAATCTGCTCATTTTTTGCGGGTTCCATATGGGGTTCCTGCTTTGAAGCCGCTGAAGGAAGGGCTGGAACAGTCGCAGAAGCGCTGGGCGCAGGCTGTGCAAGCTGCGCAGGCTGCGCAGGCTGCGCAGGCCGCGCAGGCTCGTCTTCCTGCACTGAGAAACACCGCAGCTCGATGGTCACAAATTCCATCCCTGAAATATCAAGTGTAGCTGGAAGCATGAAATATCATGAAATACATTTAATTTCTCTTCAATACCCTGATAAGGGATTCCCGAATACTACATCTGTGTTTCTAGGGAGGTGTTTGATATTAGAGGGATGGGATTGGAGTACTAAGAATTCACACGTTTGTGTCAAAGTCATCTCCAACCTTCTGTCATGTTTGCGATGTCGTGACCCCGGCCTAGCTACCAGCAAATCTATCGCCGGAAAACCTTGATAAATGCATGTTCAATGGCACAGACCTGCTCCTCATACCCATCCCCTCGCAAAATTTCAAATCTCCGTGCAGCAAATGCCTAGCAAATGGCCAGCACATGGCCACTGACTGGTCAGCTACGGAAAAGGGCTTGACTTGTGGATGAAGGGAAATTTGGAAGCCGCATTTTCAAGTCAACTGCACAACATGTCAAGAATTTTGACAAACAACTGACTTTTTCAACTCAAATCAAGCGCCCAACAGCATGTTGGCCATGCGCGATGCTATGAGGCTTTCGATCATCCATGTTGGCTCAGGGCCAGCGCCCCAGACTTGCTACTCAGCTACTCCGTACGAGATTTTTCAGTTCCAGCACTCTTTGCTGTTGCAATAGAAAGCTGTCTTTTTTGCTGTAACCAGTTACAAACTTCTGGCAAAGCCTAGTATGTCAAGCCAAGTCAATTGAGGCGAGAGTGTTACCAGCTAGACACCGGGCACCAGAGCGGCATCATGTCATCGTTGGTACTGGTTAGGATACAGTAGCCATAGATGCATGGGAAAGTCCTGAGTCCTGATCCACAATGATCCACATATGTATGTAATTATATAATTATACTCTAATATATTATTATATATAATATACAGATATATATATATCTTTCTGCTCTGGTAAAAAAAGTCCCGGGACCTACCACTTGATCTACAAGCTGATCCGGTGTGGCGCTTCACGCCGGTACGCGAGGGGGTGCAGCTTGCACCCCCTTTGCAAAGTGTGTGCGCCGCAATCCATCTGGATCTCCAATTCGATGGCATCTTTTCTTGAAACATCACGGCATGTTTGTATTTGTTTGTGGGATCATGGCATTACATGGCAGTACTCATCTTCAATCTATTGGCAAATTGGAAATCTCTGGAGTGCGGCTCTGGGTCAATCAGCACAACTACAATTGAATTGTGAGAGGCCGACTGCCAGCAACCAAATCAACGTCAACAAAGAAAGTTCTGCGACAACACGCGGCAAAAGGTGACATATCACTATGTCCTAAACCTCTGGAACTGCTTAAGCACAATCCTTCACACTGGGTTTTGAGGTTTCTCATCTTTGAAAGTGAAATCAGTTTTTCTTGGAAGGTGTGTTCCAGAGGTGTGTTCCAGGTTACCAACTCTCTTCCCCAACCCCCCAGTCCCTGAAGGAGACACCCGGCTCTGACCTTGCTGTTGCCACACCAGGTGACTCAGGGGACCAGCCGGACCAGCCACCGGGTGTTAAGCTCTTCCTCCCTGAGAGCCGCGACTTCATCCGTGGAATCACGAAGGACTTCAGCCTGAACACCGTAGCCGCAGAGGCCGAAGGCGAAGGCGAGGAGGGGGAACTGGGGGAGTGACCTTGGTGTCCATCATCGCGGAGGAAACTCAGATCCAGGTGGCACTTGGGCAAATCCGATGAATTTTCAGCCCTGAAGTTCACCCGCTTCTCCTGTGGCGCTTCCGTGGCTGCATGGATGGCAGGGGCAGTGGGATGAGTGGCGGCCACACGCTCGCGGGCGTTGCGGTGCATGGACTCGACCAGATCTTTCTGCTGCTTCAGCTGTTGAAGCTCATTCAGCTGGCTGAGATCATCCAGGTGAGAGATGTACATCTGCATCAGAAAGCCCAGGTGTGACAAGGCATTCATCTGGTGAACGGGATGCTGCAAATTCATCTTGCAACTCACAGCTTGACCAGAATATGAGATATCCACTGACAACTCCATTGCGGTTACCTTAGCCCACCTGGCCACCCTTTACATGCACTTGGGCACCATGTGCTGCAGATCATCTCTTTGCCCAACGCCCCAAAGTAGAACTCAGTCCCAACAGACCGGCAGCTTTCGCCCACATTCTGATTGTGGGATTATTGGAAGACTAAAACTCCTGCATAAAACTCTCACTGTAAATGGCTCCAAGTCATCGTTCTTTTACAGGTGACAAGTCTCCAAAAACCAGTGTCCAACTCTGATAGAAGCAGTTCGCTGTGCCCCTCCTTCCCCACGCCCCAACCGCCCCAGCCTCCGAGTCCGGGTCGAACAGACTGTGCGTCGCAGGTGCCGCTGACATGCTTGGAGGAACCGTCAAGCCCTTGCGGAAACCGCCCAGGGTCCATCAGTGACATGGAGAGGACAACAATTAGTTTCTAGCCCCGAACAGTAGTCATTCTCTATGGGGATCAGTTTCATAAATCACCATTTCTACCATATTCCACTGATCCAACCCCACAAGACAGAGCCCATGAAGACTCGGCCGCCTGCGTGGTGATTCCGCCAAGTGTGCTCGCAGCTCCTGGGATGATATGCCCGGATCAAACAGCTGGGTGTGTCTAAAAATGGAAGGCATTCCTCAAAACGGCCATGAATCATATGTCCCATTCATATTCCCTCATATGTCCCATGCGAACTATGATTCATATGATCCTGAATGAAGGGATTTTGGGGTATACCGCCCCATTTTCACGCAATTGAGTATCGACCGAAGTTGATTGGCACCTGGCACAGCTAGCGGAGCCTCTTTGGACACCTGTAATGCAGCGGGAACCAGGTACGGCTCAACATGGATTGACCCCCAAAAAATGGATCGTACAAAGTGTTGTACACAAAGCGACACAAAAAAAATGCGAATCTTTGAGTCCAACCCCAATCGTTTCCTGGAACAGTTTGTTTTATCGCACCAACCTCCGAATGGTCCCCACCTTCTGTTTCTTTGCCACTGGGCTGGGAGATCTGTCCTCCGCACCTGGCTGGATGAAAATCCTAAATGACTATCGTACTCCAGACTCCAGATGGATAAACTTCAACGTCATGGATTTGATGGAACTGTGAACTTCTACAAAAAAACAATGCATTTACTGCTTCACCTTCCACGTTTTCCATGTTTTGGGAGGATGTCCAGCAAATTTCACCCAAAAATCAGGGAAAATCCCAGAGATTTCAGGACCTGCAGCGGCCCCTCGAGCTGCGGCACGGCCACGACCGCGCCCAGTGCGGCCACCTGTAAGCAGCGCAAAGGCATTGAGGATGATGTGAGGTGGAACGGAGATGGAAATGTGTACAGGTCATATGTGTAAATATATATATATATTTATTTATTTATATATGATATATTACTGTGTATGTATATATATATATATATGAATATGTATATGTATATATTATATGAATGCCTAGATCTGTCGAAATAGAAGAAACACTTGTTGTGTGAACAACAGTCCTGATTGAGGAAACATACTTAGGCACTAGAGCCCCCCAGAGAAAAATCCTGACAGCTGCAAAATGCTACTGACATTGTCTATAAACTGTAAGACATAAACTACAAGAAAATGCGGTGTGCCACTGTCCCTGCGAGAAATGTAGAACCCACAGTGGAAAATGGCAGCAAACCTACTCCACTCGCCTAAAAAAGGAATTGCTGGACAAACCTCCAACAGGCCCGCACTTGCAAAGAGAACCCCAGATTGTACAATGCGCGGAAAAACCACATTGCAGTGGTGGGCGGCAGGGTAGCAAGGCAAAGGGCTAATGGAAGGTGCCCAGGGGGCGCATGGGAGCACTAAGAAGGAAAAAAAAAATGCAAATGGTGATTCTGTGCCTCAGAAGTTGTCTAGGTAGCTGCCAGCTCTGCGCGTCGTCGGAGAGCTGCACAAGCCCGGTAGGACCGCGTCACCACACAGAGTTCCTGAAGGAAGGTGGCAACGGCTTTTGCAGGGTCTGCCCCTGTACGGGCAGCTGCTGCATGCGCGATATGCTTCAAGGTGTGCATGGCGCCATCGTCCCAGTTTCCTGTCGGCTCCACCACCATAGGCAAAAAGCGAATTCCATGCTGCTGGCAAATGTGGCCTGTTTGCAGGTATGCAACCTTGTGCTGGGCATAGGCTGCCGCCGCCGCTCCGGGTGTTTGACTAGCCAGAGCCAAAGTCTCTTGCCGCGTGTGCGCTGTGACAGCGAAATCCAATGCAGCAGGGGACCCGGCCAAGGCAGGGATGAAAATGTCCGCAGGGCGGCGACGGCTGCTGCTGAGGTCATCGGGACTCTGAGGCAGCAGAAGATGGGCAGCTTCCTTTTCAGGACGAAGACCGGCTTGCACGGCCCACTGGCACATGTCAACCGCGAGACAAGTGCAAAGACTTGGTAAGCAAAGAGAAACACAAGGCACACCCTATGATTTTCCGTCTGAATGTCAGGAGGAACATCTGCAAACCAGCTATTTTCATGGGAAAATCCGGGTGCCATAGTGTTGTCCAATATATTCCAATATGCATTTTACAAAGACGAGACCACCTAACCTGACATCCAAATCCACGCAGCCTCTACCGCGTCTGCCGCGGCCAGCACCAGGAGGCTTGCCCTCCTTGACGAGTACAGCCCAATATGTGGATTCGGAAAGATCAACCAATGGACCAATGGATTGGAAAATGATCTGAAATCTCCGAAAACGGCAACTCTTACCGTTTCCGTTCCACCTGCAAGTTTGGGGTTGTAAGGGACCCGACAAAATAGCGCTAAAAAGGACTCCAATGTCCTGAAATGTCCTGAATCTATTGCATCAGTTGGGGGTTTACAATTAGCTGACGCTGAAGATGAACAGCCCCCTCAAATCCAGATGCTTTCTGCAGTTCCAGTGGTTCTTGTTCGAGGCTCCACCAGTGCATCTTCTTGCGCAACTTCGGGCAAGCGAGCCACCTGTACAGTCCATGGTGAATGGCACTCCATGTGTGTTCAAGGGCCTTTCCTCTGGTTTCTCGTGTCACTGAATGACAATGGGTATACAGATGTATACAGTATACAATCCAACTCTTGACGGAATCCACATGTAAAATCATCTAAATCATTCAACCAGGAATTCAAAGGGTATCATTCAGAAGCACAAACCACTGATTGCTTCAACATAACTTTGTCAGAGTTCTACTCCGATCACGATTCAGCGCCACACATTAGCAGCTCCCATCCTTGCCCAGCGTTTCTCCTCCAGGGCTGCTGCAGGTCAAACCGAGTCAAACCTGTTGCCACAATCTACACAGAATTACAAGTTGGGCAAAGAAAGTCAGTCACCCGAGTCAGTCGCCCCAAACGTCCGAGTCAGTAACCCCATAGGGCAAAGTCAGTCGCGGGTGAACATTAGCACAGGATGGAGGGAAACCAGGAACGGGAGACAGAGAGTCAGCAACCAAGAGTCAGTCACCCCTCGGAAGCCGAGAGGAGGATGAAGGAACCCGGCGGAAAACAGAAAGTCAGCAACAAAGAGTCGGTCACCCGGTCACCCTGGAAGAAGAATCGAGGAACCCCCGGGGAAAACAGAAAGTCAACAACAAAGAACCGGTCACTCCAACAAAGAGTCAGTCACCCCTGAAAGCTAGCTAGCCAGCTATCTAGCTATCTATCTATTTATCTATCTATCTATCTATCTATCTATTTATCTATCTATCTATCCATCCATCCATCCATCCATCCATCCATCCATCTATCTATCTATTCTATCTATTCTATCTATCCCATCTATCCTATCTATCCTATCTATCCTATCTTCTATCCTATCTATCCTATCTATCCTATCTATCCTATCTATCCTATCTATCCTATCTATCGTATCTGTCCTATCTATCCTATCTATCCTATCTATCCTATCTATCCTATCTATCTTATCTATCCTATCTATCCTATCCTATCCATCCATCCTTCCATCCATCTATCTATCTATCTATCTATCTATCCATTAAGGAACCCATCGGAACATGTAAAATCGGAACGTCAACAACAAAGAGTCCCTCAAGAAACCTCAACGCAACCCTAAAGAAACCCCAAAGCAACACTAAGTAAAGCCTAAACCAACCCTCGCGCAAACCCTGACAAAACCCCAAATTAGCCCTAAACCAAACCTAAATAAACCCTATGCCATTTTTTGAACAAAGCCTGACGAAACCCTTATTAACCCTAAACCAACCCCAAAGAAACCCTAAACCAACCCGAAATATACCCTAAACCAACCCTTAAATATAACCTAAACGAAACCTAAACAAACCCTAAACTGACCCTAGATAAACCCTAAACCGACCTTGAATAAACCCTAAACCAACCCTAAGCCAACCCTAAGTAAACCCCAAACCAGCGCTAAAACAAACCCTAAACCACCCCAAAACAAACCCTGTCGAAACAACAATTCAACCCTAAACCAAACCAAAAGAAATCTAAACCGAGCATCCATAAACCCCAAACCAAGACTACATCAACTCTAAAACAAACCCTACAGAAACCCTAAACCAACCCTCAATCAAACCCTGAAGAAACCCAAATTTCACCTTAAACCAAACCTAAATAAACCCTAAACCAAGCCTAAATAAACCCAAAACCAACACTAAGCAAACCCTAAAGAGACCCTAAAACAAACCTTGACGAAACCCGACATTAACCATTAACCCGAAGCTAACCTCAAATGAAACCTACACCAAGCCTGACTATACCCTACACCAAGCCGAAATAAATCCTAATCCAACCTTCGAACAAACCCTGGTGAAACCCTAACTTAACTTTAAACTTTAAACCAACCCTTAAAAACCCTAAACCAGGCCCAAATAAACCCCAAACCAACGCTAAGTAAACCCTAAATAGACCTAAACCAAACCTTAACGAAACCCGACATTAGCCCTAAACCAACCCTAAATAAAACCTAAATCAAGCCTGAATATACCCTAAACCGTATGTTGAGCTGTAAGCAAGAAAGGTCAGTGAGCAATCATCTGACGAGCCGGTGCCTGAAAGAGACATGCATGTTGCATGTTTGAAAAAAAACATGCATATATTTGGAAATGGAAGCACGCCGCAGTGCAGCCACCCCTCACCGGAGGGTGACTCCGACGTGGGGGTGATTAACTCACTGGTGGGTGACTGATTCTGTCTGCTCTCCAAATTACAAAGTTCGGCTTCAACATCCTCCGACCCTTTTGGAATGACCAAATCGCACAAATTACAAATCATCCTCGTGTTGGCCTCCAATTGTACTAATATGTTCAGTTCTCCAGGGGTTGTATATAGATCAAGCGATGTCTACATATTCCTGACAACACAGCCACAGCCGCCTGTCAATTCAGAAAAGTCCTGAATCTCGTTATGCAAGGAGCGCTCCTGCAGGTCGCAAAGGGGGCTGTTCAGCCCAGAATTTTGGGCCCATCTTGCCATAGGGAAACCATCTCAGGCTTGCCTTGTCAATCTTCGCTTGCAACACTAGAGCAAAGCGCTGTAGGAACCCACGGTGTTTTTTCTGGGCCTGCTCCTTGACCGCTGTCACTCTGGGGAGATCTGCAGCTGAGCTGCAAGGGTCACTATTTTGACTCTTTTGTTTGTGTTCATCCCCAGTTTTTATACTTTACATTCTGCTTTCCTTGCTGCATCTCTCATAATCTTGCATGCCAAAAAAAGCATTTGGGGTTCAAACTTGGCAAAAAAAACAAACTGCAAGGTGGTCCAGAAAAGTGTTGCTTCAGTCTTCCCCATCCCCATGGTCGAGGCACCACTGCGCTAGTCCAGTCACCTTCCAGGCGCCCCAAATCTCTCCACAAGGCCTGCAGAAAATGATCCACCGCTTGCCGTTTTGCCAGGTTCTTGGAAACACTTGGAAGATACACTGCTAAGTCTCAGCGAGCTCTATTGGGAACCAGTGATGTATAGTGACTGTCAATGTTTGTCACCCTGAAAAAATCTCAGATATCTGGAGCCCATTGGAGCCCCAAGACCTCATGATTTTAGGATCTTGACCCCAAAGTCCCCACCTGCAGGCTCTCATTCGTCTCCGCCAGCGCGGCTTGATGCACTCGCTGTGCACATGCAGCAGACCTGCCCCAACTGGAGCCGCAACGCGGATCCGTTGCGGTGCAAAACTGTGCGGCTTTACCATCAACAATGGGTATTGAAGGGGATTGACCAGGGAAAATAGGGATTTAGAACCAACAACAATTATCCGGATATAATGTCATAGCTGGTGATTGAGTATTAGAGAACCATTGGTGTATCCAAGACATAATTTCTGACCAATCATGACCAAGGATCACCAATGATGAATGGTACAATTGCTAATTATGACTAGTGGGGTATAGAATTTGGCAGCTATGGCTACTGTTGGTGAGAAGTAACAATTCAACCATGAATCATTTTTTTGGTGATGAAATACCAATAATTAAAACCCTTGATGAGCAAAAATGTTATTCTTAGAAGCATGCGTTTCACGACAAACGTGCATATCAATTGTTATTTTTTGTTGCTCTCAATTATAGTTTTGATACACTTGTTGGTTGCTAATTATATTATTCCCTTTTATGGTATAGTCTCCGAAATTGCAAAGAACCAAAAGAGTTCAAACATCAAACATCAAAACAACGTGAACAAGTACACAAGTAGGGTAAACCCAAGGATTTTTGGGATTTTGTTGGTTTTCCTCTCCAAAAAGAATGCGGTGAGCTGCCAATTCCATGTTCATTCTTTCGAGAATCAACTGGAAGTACTCTCATACTCTTTAGGCCTCTTATAACTGCCAACCTAGAGAAGCCTAGGTGCCCACCGTTCAAATGGGGGTGATTTGCGGATGTTGAAATCAATTTTTGATTGATCTGACCATAATGAAGGAAACCATGGAACTACCATTCGCAACCAGGGAAAAGCAACGGCCCTTTCGAGCCCCTCCCAGGGATGCAGCGGAGGCGCCGGAGCAAATGAAGCACTTCACTGCTCTGCGACATGCCAGACCTTTCCGATTGCTGGATAGTTTGTTTGATTTTGTTCACCATGGCAAATTTTTCAATTGCGTCTCAAAAAAAATGCGATTGTTCTCTTGCATCTGCTTGCCATTACCATTTTCAAGATCATCCAACCAAATGTTCGTGTTACAAAACCCAAAATACGTCTAAATAGCATCAACGACCCAACATAGACCGCATTTCTGCCCCTTCCGCCAAGTAGCGAATAGGCGTTCAAAATTTCCACCACGCAGCCCCCAAGTTCCACGGGGGCCGACAACAATGGTCTCCGGAAATGCACGTCGATGACCATGCGTCCGGGCGCGCGACGCAGCCGGACCTCGTCCTGGTGGGGCGCATCCCCACAGCTTTGATGGGCCATGACATCCATCAACCGTTGCAGTTGCGTCCTTGGAACACGAGACAAGTGCACCCAAGGAAGGCAAGAAAATAATGGCATATGTCACACATAAAAAAATTAATTGAAATTCGAAATTTCGATTCGAACTGATTGAATTTCAGATTTCCAGGAAAAAAAGGTCAAATAGCAAATCTGCAAAAAAAAATCAAGGTTCTCAGTCCATGCCAGCAATGGTCGTGCCAAGTGATGTTGCTGCAATCTGGCTTCCAGCAATTCCAAACCATCGTCTTGGCCGCGAGGGTCACACAGTTGTACTGTACAAATAGGTTCTTCCTGCAGGCAGTCACGAGAAATGGACCTGCATGGCAAACCATGTACAGGTTCTAGCAACAAACGCTGAATCCAACAAAAAATGAATATAGTCATCGACAATGGAGAAAATAACCAGTGTTATGTTAAAAAACGGGCACTCCCTTTTGAAGTTTTTGTGAATCCACAAACATTATTTTGGGTTAAAATCGATCGAAACATAACAAAAACGGATGAAATCAAACGCACTTGTTTTCGCATTTAACCATCCTGATTGTTTGGAAGTTGTGGCAGGTCGGCATGCCAGTGCAATAGAACATCTACATCAGCACCACCATTGGCCACGCGCCACCGCGCAAAAGTCGATGGTTTTTGCGGTTTTTTTTCCAGTTTTTCGGCGCCACTGGCGATGGAAAGTTCGTCGATGGTGGACATTCGTAGACCACCATGCAAGCTGCCCGGTAGCTGGACTTTGCCCCATGTGTGGCCCAATGATGAGGAGAAAAACTGTTTAATTTCAACAATCATAGGAAATTATTGATGTGCATGTTGTATGCAATTGCATGTTCGTATTTAGAAAAAAAATTATGCATCTGCACATCGAGCAAAAATGTCAAATTTGATTGATTGAACCCATGTTTTCTGCGGCTAAGTGCGCGTATCACAAAATAAACAAACTAAATGTTGCGTTCTAGTGAAAGTTCATCAACGATTAAACGAACTGTAAGAACGTTTTTTCGTCACATCCAAGGGTTCAAAAGCAATCAAACGGTCACATGTTGTACTAGTGGCGCTGATCTGTTCAATTAACATTGAGCCATTTCGAAAAAACCGTGAGTCAAAAAAGCTGAACTTGGCACTTGGCTTGAGAGTTACTTCCAATAGCGCTACTCTTAAATTTACTAGAGAAGAACCGCCATCCGGATTAATGGATCCCACAAACTATTGAAATCAGAGTAGGCCCATGATTTTGCGACAGAACATACTTGAGTTCTACCAGGTTAGATCTGCGATGGATCCTACTTTGTCCAAATACTTTTTGCAATGGATCCTACTTTGTCCAACATTTGTTTGCGATGGGACCTACCCAAATCCATCTCAAAATGATGCCAAATCTAAGACTAACTCATGGTATGTGCTAGCAAGGTTTAACATGATTTGTCTCAAAACTCTAGGTTTTGAGTGTTAGGCAACAGTTTTGGTTAGAGATGGATTTGGGTAGGCCCCATCTCAAACACAGCCTGCCAGTATTAGGGGTATTGGTAGTGGACATGTGTGTGTCTGAAAAGGCTTGCCAGTCCAAATCAATGCTTAGGGATAAGTCTCACCCAAATCCATCTCTAAGTTGAATTTCAAAAAAGCATCTCGTCTCGACCACATCCATTTGAGATAGATGGCACAAAATCCCCCAAATTGTTTGAGACAAGTCCTTGGTTTCCAATCAGTCTCACCTGAAGCGCTTTGAGATGGATTTGGGTAGGTCCCATCGCAAACAAATGTTGGACAAAGTAGGATCCATCGCAAAAAGTATTTGGACAAAGTAGGATCCATCGCAAATCTAGCCTGGTAGAGCTCAGGCATGTTCTGTCGCAAAATCATGGGCCTACTCTGATTTCAATAGTTTGTGGGATCCACTGTGGGCTCTGGCATCCGTAATGTAAGTAATCCGGATGGCGGTTTTTCTCTAGTAAATTTAAGAGTAGCGCTATTGGAAGTAACTCTCAAGCCAAGTGCCAAGTTCAGCTTTTTTGACTCACGGTTTTTTCGAAATGGCTCAATGTTAATTGAACAGATCAGCGCCACTAGTATAACATGTGACCCTTGATTGCTTTTGAAACCTTGGATGTGAGGAAAAAACGTTTAAGCACAATAATTGATTCTATCACCACAAATGTGTTGAAAACAAACACACGGGATCACACGGGGGTAGGAATGGTTTTGTCGGTTTACCGGGTTTTCAAACAGTGATGAAACAGAAAGGCGAAAGCCTCTTCAACTGAAAAGACTGTTTGTCACACAACATGTGTGCTATAGCTCACCATGAGATTGCAAAAAAAAACAAGGGATTTCGTCAAGACTATCACTGGCACGCTCTTAAAATCGATGGAAAAATACTCATCAAGTATCAGCTCTTAACGCAACCACGTCAAATCTTAGGCTGATACTATCCCTGCATACGTCAGCCGTGCAACTAAAGACCTTTTAGCTACACACAGAAAAATGGACTTTCATGCAAGCACTAGCGTCACGGCCAAAAACCTTTCAGCCCGTATTAACCCTATCAAAAAGTGACCACCGGGGACATCTTGATTCAAAGAGGTCCTATCAAAACGCGTTGGCCGCAGTTCTGCAGCACAATAATAAACAGTGCCAACCCAAGAATTCAGGAAACATTTCCCTGCTGCCGAATCCCTGAGTAGCGGACTCGGCAAAAACGACATGTTTAATGTTTGTCAAAGTGAGATTGCGTGGCTTTAGGGGGCTCGAAACCCTCAAAGAACCGTCCCTCTGTGAAACAATGGTTTTTTGCGAACTGTTCTGGAACCGAAAGCGCCTCAGAATTGATCCTGATATACACTATTCGATTTGTGCTGTGATATGTGCACAAATGCATGACTGACATGCCTACGCACACAACTGCAAAATGCGGAAATGTGTTCACCCCGCCTTGATGTTGACGTTTCGTCAACCATCACTATGGCACAGGTTCCGCAGGCTGTATGTTCAGCCATCGTGTTTTCTTTCTTGGAACCATTTCAAAGTGAAAACTTCCATTGTGAAAAGTTGGCATTGAAGCCTCCGATTGGGATTCATCCCCTAACCAGCGACCCACTTCTTTGGTGCCATGCGCCACTCAGAACTCCATGACCCCATCACCAGTTCCATCGTGTCCATCTGGTGGGGAGTCATCGCTTCCAGGTCCGTAGTGGACCAAGGCCCAGAAGTCGGGATCTGACGCCTCCGTTTGGCCACAATCGGCGTAGCGCCGAACCTTCTCAGAGCTGGTCTCTGCAGGCATGCTCTCATCGCTGCACCCAGCTGGCCAAGGAGCACGGCAATCTCCTCATGGCCATCGTACTCCAGCAGGCCCACGAAGCATCCAAAGGCCTTGTGAGCCATCATCACGGCCGCCAGCTTTTCAGGTTCTCCAAGTCCATGAAGGGGAGAATCTTCATCTTCGTTCATGTCATTTGTTTCGTTGATCACCTCTCTGATTCTCAGCTTCTCGGCCATTGAGCTTTCCGGCAGATGAGAAATGCAGCTCAGCAACCAGGTTCGACTCTGAAGAAATCGAACGATTTTCCCATTGTTCCCACTGCGTTGAGCACGTTCAAGCCTTCCATTGACGCGTCGAAGTGTCAGAAGCAAAAAACCTTCGATTGGAGGCTCCTCATGCACTCCTGGATCAGCAGCTACAGATCTCACTGCCAAATCATTCGGCTGGAAGTACGGGGATCGGCTTGAGGAGACACCTTCACCCCAATTGCCCTTTGGGCCATTGCTGTCACATCCACACAGCTGCGTTGCCGCCACACCATGGACGAAAGCTGTGGCAACTCCGGAAGAGAGTCCTGAGTTGACTGCATGACGATGACCACCGGCATTTAAAGTTGGAGAGTTCTCATCGCTTGAGAGGTCTGTGATGTACTCCAGCACCTGTTGCACCATTTCTCGTTGGTCCTCGGCAGCTGATTCAAGATAGGCCAACATGTCAGACAAGATACCTTGCCGAGCAAGATATTGGTTTGTTTTGTATATGGGTCCTGTCTGACCACTGCTTTTTCCAACCTTCGCTCACATCTGTCGTAGAGCCAGTGAATCATTCCCTCTTGGGGCCACGGCGGATACTCAGAGCTTTCAGTGGTTCAGAGCAATTGTCATAGGAAGCATCTCCATGACTGCAATCTGAAGCTGTCTCAGCAGTCACAAAATCAAAACTTTTCGGGACTTGTCCAGCGCGTAGAACTACATAGAGGTAGCCAACCAACCCAAGCAGCCATGTGAACCAAAAACACAACGCCGAAGTTGTTCTCGGCAGTCACTGCATCCATGGCACCGGAGCAGCCCTGAAGTTGGGTCAGTACGCTCACGGCGCTGATCAAAAGGTTGATTTGTGATTGACTGTAACCTTGCTCTCTCTGATTTGTGACATGTCTGAAGATGTTTCCTGGATCATTGGCTCCCTCCAGATTGTTTCCTCTCCAGATGCCCAAGAAGTAGCACAGAGATTCGAGCCTTGCTGCGCTAAGACGTTTGGTTGCGATGTGGGTTCAGTGCACCCATCGCTGCTCTGACAAGTAAACGTTTCTGCATCACAAGGTCTTGAAGCAATAGAACTCTGCAGCTCAAATGCCTTAAAACTACCTACCTCTTGCAGCTGATGAATCCAAATACAGACACTTATTTCCAAAGACTGAACCGCTTGCAAAACACATAGCACCGTAACGTCGCAACGTGTTAAATCGATCGTTAAAAGTTCGTCTCCGCCACAAAACGAATAAAACCAAAAACGCTGGACAGCCGAAGCACTGGTGAAAGTTCGGACTTTTTCAACACATAGCAATTGGGGTCAGTCCTTTCACGCCCCGCCATAGGGCTGGGGGCGTGGCCTTTTATTATTGCAAAGAAATGTTGCAAAAGGGTCGGGGAAAAGAAGGAAGGGAATTTGCAACCTCTTAGAGTCTAGAGGAAACAAAATTGGTTATGATATAAAGTTGTCACAAGCCAAAACTAAACAACAAACGCAATATCGCCTCGGGTTAGCCACCTACGCATGTACAAATCTAGGTGCATCGGATAAGGCTATCGCAACGGTAAGAAAGCGTCATATATGAATATTATAAAAATAATATTCATAAAACTGAATCACTGAAATTTCGGACAATGGTAACAATGCTAACGCCTTCTTTTTCCAACGCACAGCTGAGACATGGGGAATTTCACAATTTCGATGCGAAGAGAATGGAAAAGGTTTCTTTCAACTATTTCAAAGCGCTTGGCTTCAAACATCTGGACTCAAACGCTTCCTTCGAAGCTGAGAAAAATGAGATCCATTTCACCACAAACTCAAGCACTCTTGCTTTGCAAGAATACTCTATCTTGCTCCCCCGACCGTCCATGGCTCAGCAGGATCTTGGATCACCTTTCGCAGCTTCGCTGACCAAAGTCTCAGGTGTCTCGTTCTCCAGGCACCTGTATCACTGTATCGGCTGTGAGTTGGCTTATGCCTGATTTGCTATCCCCTCGCATGTGCTTCCGCACTCCCCCGTAGCCAAGGACTTCCAAGAGGGCTCCTGTTGACTCGCCGCACTGACACGCCTCATTACAGGCCACGACCTCTGCTTCTGCGGTGCTTTGGGTGATGAAGCACCTTACTGTCCCGTACGCCGGCAACAGTTCGGACGCTCCACTCAGAGCTCCGCTACCACGCAAGAGAGCCCAAAACCCAAATGCAACTCCCAAGAACAAACAACCTCTCGCACGACGG